TACAACATCTGGACATGTGAACAGCTGAAGTCAACACCACTGTAATTTGTAAGGCAGTAAAAACAAGGTGAGGCTCCATGCCTGGGAGAAAAAAAAAAAAAAAACAGCTGATACTTCTCATTATCTGTCATTAGCGGGGTCAGCCATTCATCTCTCCGGCATGTGTAGGGGGAAAAATACCAGTTATTGGGATCACAGAGATGCTTTCTGATGCCTTTACTTGGAGAATTATTTTTAAAAAAGTGGATGTCCAAGGGCAAACAGGCCTCAGAGATCTGAATCACGGAGCTTGTTCTCTTTGTCTGCCATTCTGATGTATCACTGAAAGAGTTCCAATTGACGCTGGAGAGACATTGATCCTGCCTTAATAGTCTGTGTGAGACTGAATGGAGAGCTTACAAAGTATCCGTGGTGTCCTCAGGCTGACTTCGGTTACCGACTATAAATAGAAACATCTTTTTTTTGTAGAGATCATTATTTCTGAAGCAGTTCATCAAGAATTCCATTTTACATGGTTACGTGTCTTACATCTGCCCTCACTAAATAGATTGATTTAGTGTTTTTTGTCTGGTAAATAAAAAGTAATTATCACTAGAAGCAGAAAAAATTGTTTATGGAATGTTTGTGCAAGGAAGGAAGATATAAGGAGAAAAAAGGCATTGTAGCATTTTGAGCCTTTGTTCCCAACATCCATTGTTTTGAGACAGGCAACATAAATTAATAATGATAATAACATGATGATTAAATGTAGAATGATGATGCTAGCGATTAAATAAGCATTTAAAGGTAGAACTTTGACTTAACACATTATATGAATTATAAAAATGTTGTCGGAAGTCAGGCATTAATTTTTAGTACATCTATTGTACCAAATAAGACTTCCTGTTGTGTAATGCAGTCCCAGTTTTCACAATTTTTCAATAATTTTTACTTCCTTGCCTTTTAATATATTGATGCATTCACTGTCATTATGACTCTTACATGAGCTGTCATGGAAACAAATATTTTTAAAAAGAAGAAAACTGTCAGAACTCTAGCAGTTACTTTATATACAGTATATTACCAGTGTCTAGACTTCCACAAGACAAGAACTATAATCTTGTGTTTAATTTTGTTCAACAAAGTTTATGAAGAAATGTTAATATAATAATCTTAAATACAACAGAAGCGATTAGATAAATGTGATTTTGAGCCAAAGAAAATCATATTCTTGACAGATTTGAATAGTTCATACGGGATGTACTTTTCAAAATAAAACAGGAAATGACAAGACCAAGACATGACAAGAACACCAAAATCCCCCCAGGCGTGACATTAAACTTTTATATTCTAGAAAACCATTTAATGTTAAAAAAAATTTAGATAAAGAGCATAGTTCATTTCATGACTTTTTATTGCTTATCCTTCTAATTTTTAGTGTTGGAACTGTAACAACTATGAGTAAATCTAATTTGCTTCGGAACACATTATTGTTATGACTAGTAAAGAGCACAGATATTCTAATCTTGGAATACCTGTATTTGTAGAAGAGACATATTTAAATCTTTGAAACAGATATCATTGATATATGATTAAGTTATGACCTACTTTGTCTTACTATATGTTTAAAGTTCTTATTTAGACACATTTCCTTACAGGAAATGGAGATGATCTTCACTCTTAGGTCAGCTTTTCTCAGACCTGTAAAATACTCACCTCCCATTTAGAAGCTGCCACCTGTGACCCCTCTAAAAACCAGTGCTGACACAGTTCTCCTCTCACAAAAGACCTGACCAATGGAGCTGGTGAAAATAGGGCAGCTTTGGGTTTTATTGAGTGTAGCTACTGACATAAAGAGGACTGGGAGGCCACTTGTTGTTGTCTTTTGAGGGGGCTGGGCTCTTGTTTCAGAGCAGTAATGCTTTCACCGTGTGATTAGGATGGAAAAGCCATGGCCTACAACCATTTAAGCGGTGAGAGTGTGCTAGTCTGTTATGTATTTGGTCATGATGATGGTAAATTGGAATGATATATGAGGCAGCAGAAGAAGTATGGTGAACAACACAAACACAAAGACAAGGGCAGAGTAAAAAAACAAAAAATTCTGAACAAGACAGCAAATGTTTGACAAACAGAAGAACAAATATGATAGGCAACAGATCCCTGTTTTCAGCTTCTTCAATTTAAATATTATCTATTCTTTATCCTCTTCAAATGATTATAGACGGTTGATTTTAGATTATTATAATACAGTCTCAGACCAGTTGGTTAACAAAACAAGGATTTACTTCCCTATAGACTTTTTTTTTTTCTTTAAAGAATATCTTGTATTTATAAAAATGTTCATCCTTCTTGTTTGTTTTTTAAGAGCATAGCTTTATATTACATTGTATCTATGATCGGCCCAGACAACAGTGTGTCTCATTAATTTTAATAAGGTATTGATCAGGTATTGATAAGACATTCCTGGACATGCCAGTTGGACACATCAGAGATGTTTTAAGGAATTGCCGTATTCACTGAATAATGAATTGTGGAAGCCCTTCTATTCCAGCTAAAGACATTGTTGTTATTAAGATATATCAACAGGGATATACAGATACAGGAACAGGCCGTAACACATTTAGTTTGGATTATACAGTTTGCAAAGAGATTAGATATTTTCTAATGTATAAGTTTTCAAAAAGAGACTATTTTTGTTGTGCTCCATAAATACTGTGCGAAAAGCATTACACGCAGAAAGTTACATTTTTATCAAAGATTGTTTTGCAATTGTGAAGTCTGTGGCTGCTTTATATTGTGTGATATGTGGCAAATTTAGTGTTATACAGCCCTATAATGTACACCAATTCGTCAGGGAAGGTAAGAGGGAGTGACTAGTGGCAGTATTACTCTTGACAGCACTTTTTTAATTTAAGGTGTGTCAAAATTGATAAAAGTTGGGTTTGTGAATTCGTTTGATTGTTTTTTTTGTTGCTTTCTCTTTATGTTAGTTGGACAAGAATGACATAACATAGCAAATATCTGTTATAAAATGTAAAAGATGCTGAAAATGTAAGAATAAAGTTCTTGTTTTATCCTTCAGAACAACAAAGGAATGTGTTGCTCGATCTCAAACCCACTAAAAGGGATTAATTTTTTTTACTTCTGCTTTTTGAAAGTGTCATCAATGTATGTCGGAGAATCTATTATTCCACTTAACACTCACACTTACAGTTGTGAAGGGGTAAAGTCATTGTTCTCAGCTGAGGTTACGAAACGATCTGCATGAGATCATGGAATGTCTGTGGTCATAATAGCAGTAGGCAGATGTATCGAATGTTAAAGTTAAAGATTTTGGTTAGCCATCTTGCTTTGACATTGTCTTGAACAAAGATATGCAAGCTCATTTGTGTGGACTTAAAGAATGGACCTATTCTGCTTTTCTTGGATGGATTAATCTGGATGGTCATTGCACAATACTTATACAACCGTTTAGATATTTATCTGTTTCACACTCCCAATAATATACTCTTGATACAGAATCGACTATAAGTTCATGTATCTTATCTTCTGCATGGACACCATGACAGACAAGACTTCATTCACACACTGCTGTAGAGATGTGTTAAATCCCATTGTTTGTTATTTTCTTCTTTGGCATTTGGAGTCTTGATTTCAGTGGAAACAACAAAAACATTTTTTAGGATGAAGTAGATATGTTATACAGACCAAAACAAGTAGTTAGTTATTAGTTGACAGTTACATATTTCTCCACATTTAGACAGAATTGGTCATATGTAATTTTTGATAAATTTAGGTTTTTGGGCCTTGGCTAAAAGGTGGAAGTTAAAGTATGATGAAATAAAAAAAGAACTTCAAGGACTTCTCTCCACACAAATGAAGCATGATTGCTCTACACCATCTAGCTCACAGGCTTGAGAGGTAACTTGTGAAAGAATAAAACAGAAATATGGATCTTTTTGATGACTTTCTTTTAATGTCTGAGTCAGCCTGAACCTGCCACTTTAAGGTACTTCAGTTCAATTGCTGTATGTGTTACAACATGGACGGTAATGACACAGTTAAGATTCTTTCTCATGTTCAGGACATAATTTTACAACATCAAAGTGACTCATATGACTTTAGTCATGTAAAAGGCCTCTTTGATTCAGGCTATTTTCAGCCTGTAATATCTCTCAACTGTGAATCTAAGTCTTTTTAAAGTATTCATATGAAGATTGACAGATCTTGAAGGTTCATGTTAAATCAGTTTTCAGTTTTCAGGTTTTACTTTATATAGACTAATCCTCTTGGTGTTTTCTCTTCATCCCTTTAATTACGCCCATTCCGAGCCCTACCTGTGCTGTGTAGGGAATTATAGCACGCAAGGATTGGGAGTTTTCAAGCGGGACGTATAGTCAAGGCTATCATGAGTCAGTTCTGACCCTGAAGCGACTGCTTCTGTTGTAAATTAGCCCTAAGAGGTCTGAAGAATCAAATTTGACTTCTTCCCCAGAAGCAGATGTTGATTGGCTTGTAATTAGCCTTTTTTTTGCCCGAAGGCTTAACTTCACGGAAAAGATTACAGTGTACCAAGAGTCTGCAGTACTGACCCCCATCTGTTTGTACATAGTTTCATTGTTTCAAGTGTTTCGTGACCAATATCCGTTCGGACAAGATTGATGGGTAATTTCAATCCATAGTTACAAGCTTGAAATCACAAGCTATGTTACAACCAACAATATTCAACAATATGCAGTGACTCTGCAATGGCGCTGCAACACAACCAGATAGGAGATTTTTTTTCTTTTGAGACAAATCTATTATTTCAACAAAAAATAAAAGTCATGCAATAGTATAGTGGATGTGCATGCATCCTATATATATATGTAAGCGAATATGTGCATCTGTTTTTCATTGGAATTACTAGTAGCAAGCAATTCTTCATTGGACAAGCATGGGGAAATAGTATACATAACAATGTGGATATACAAAAAAAACACTGGACTTAATGTATTTATGCTTTTCCTCCTGGGCACCCCCAGGATGCCATCAACTCTGTTGAGGTTGCAGACTTGTGTCTGTTTAAAAATGTCCTTTTTGCTGTGGTGGATGCGTGTTGTGCTGATATTGTGAAGTACCTGCCTGAGAATGAGAACAATATAAACTCTGACTGTCTGGCCCGGTTTCCTTGACCCCCACACTGATAGCACTGATCGGTTTTTCTTGGGAATCTTCTCTGACCTCTACGCAACAGTGGGTGGGCACAAGTTAAGTTAAGATGGGGAAAGAAGGGGTAGGATTAGGTAGGGGGCCATAGGGAGTTGGAGCTGATAAGAAAGAAGGGGTATTTGACAGAGAAGGTTGGAGGGGTTGTAAAATGGAAGCTGTTGAGGCTTTTTTTTAGCAAATGCTGTGGTCTGATTTACTTTCTCTCCTTTCCTTCACTGTGTGTTAAAGACATGGGCCAGAAGTTGACAAAGTTGTTCTTTTACTGTTTTTATAATCGAAATTGATGTCTGTTCACGTCTGCACATGTCTGTCCATAAATCAAAGTGTTAATGTTCTTGTAAAAAATATAGTTTAATGCTCATAGTAGGAATATGACAAGAATCCTTACTCTCTGTCTCCTTTTGTGAGCTGGTTTATCCTGTGATTGTTTGATTTATTACTTAAAAAAAAGACTTTTTACTTTACATTTAGAGGCCCCATCACATAAGGTTTACTTTCAGTATATTAGACTATCAATATGTATTAGCATGTGTCTAAGTTTCTGACTGGGTGCCAGCTGATGATTAAAACCTCCAACATAACCCTTACGGGAGGAAATGATGTAGAGATATGGTCTTACATCATATTATTTATTATTTCAGATCCCTATGCCTGTGGTTGAGTCAAGTCTAGACCTTAAAGCACAGATGTCTTTAAATCTTCCAAATTTTAATGAAAAAAGAGCAAGCTCATGGTCTTTGTGGCACTTCTGTGATGACCCCCCCGTTTTTTTGTAAGGCAGCTGGCAAAAATAAAATCAGTCCTTCAAAAACAGCACTTTATTTTCCTATTAAAGCCTCGACTGGCCTCGCCCCACCCTACCTTTCTGAGCTGCTCGTCTATCTCTCCGGCCAGCTGACCAGCTCCTTCTGACAGGGCCTAAAGCTAGGCTTAAGCTCAGAGGGGATTGAGCGTTTGCCATTGCTGCTCCAAAACTTTGGAACAAATTACCGCTGCACATTAAGAGAGGCCTCCTCTCTGTCCCATTTTAAAACCCACCTCTTCTACTTGGCTTTAGACAACTTGTAGAGTGTTGATTTTATGTGTATATATAGAGATCTTTATGTCGTGCGAACATTGCCTTTTATTTATTTAATTCTTTTAAATGGATTTTAATTTTATTTTACTAAGTTTATCTTTCCATTGTCTACTTAATATTTTCTTTTCTTTATACTGTGCTATCTATTTAGTGTCTTTTATTTTGTTGTAAAGCACTTTGGATTGTTAAAATTGTCTTATATAATTGACGTGGATTGGATTGGATCTTTAACTGGCATTTGATGACTAGGTTGTTCAGAAGAAGAACACTGAAGGGAGAATTTAACTTGTACTTAAATTACTGACAGTCTACTCTAAACCTTTCTGTTGTTTTAACCTCTTTTCCATCCTCATTTGTTACAGGCTTCTTGTCCCATGTAATTCTACTTTGGACAGTTGTAAATGTGCCCTAGATTCATACAAGTACAACATGTTTAATATTGGTGGAGTTCTTTTACAGACTCCAAAAATAGCATTTTCCATCCCTACTTTACAAATCTGTCTACACCCCTCTGTGTTTTATACCTCAGAACCAAATTCAGCTCTCTTACAATTCTTCTAAATAGCACCGACCCCAAGAAGTCAGTTTTACAATCATTGTATTTATCCATGGTTTTCTATAACATTTTAACAATATTACACGTGTTATTCAGAGCGGGTGAATGGCACATTGCCCCAGTGAGAACCCCGTTTCACAAGCTCCTACACAAAACTGAATCAACCTGTGCGCTGAAACTTGAGGTTTCACCCAAGAATTAACGCCTTAACTGAAATATCCACTTTTCTGCCATTCCAAACCCCCAAAACATACAACTACTTGAGATCTGTGATGGGACAGGAATTCTTGAACAGTATGTTCTGCCCAATAAGTAGAGAACCACCCCACATTTATGTAGAATAACAAATTTAACAAACTTGTCCTCATAAGGATGTTTATCTTTAACATTATAACAGGATTATATATAAATATATATTTTCTATGTATCTTTAAGAAGCTTTGGCATCTATTTTGTATCACTTAATGACTATTTAAATAACCATTTATAACTAGCCGTATTTATAACAGATTCATTATAACTAATTAAAAGTCCTTTTTCTAGTTTGTCAAAAGGGGTTCATGTTTTTATAGTCAATTACTTATCTAGAGGCATTGTCCATCAAAGTAAAGCTTGGACTGAACCTCAAATTCATTATTTATTTTCTCTTTCTTCTGCAAATATGAGATCAATTTGAATTACCAATGAGTGTAAGAGTGGAATAATTCACACTAATAAAGGTCACATGAGCAGAGGAAACTCTCCCGGAAAAGAAAATTGCATCAGCATGATTATCGGTGTAGAGAATGATGAAAGAGTGAGTAAAGGACAGCCTCTGCTTCCATGAAAATCCATGAAAGTGAGATCGGGTAATTGATTCAGACGTGTGTCTGGTCAGTGTCATGTCCAGTGTGAAGTTTAACAATGTGGCTGATTAGATCTTTATAGCAAAGTTCTAAACATGTTTTAATTTTTCTTTTATGGAGACTGCTAGCCTTGGGCAATGGCTTTCATTCTTTGTCTAGATTTAAAAACTAAACTTACAGATGAGTACAAAGATTATAAGAAAGCAATGGTCATTATTAACTCTCCTCCTTTTAATGAAAGTAGAAATAATAATGTACTTACAGAGTAATACAAAGAAAGTTGTAAAGGTGGAACTGGGTACAACATACATAACTAGTTAATATGCAAAATTTTACATTTTTTTGATCAACTGGAACAATAAAAGGAAAAAGTAATGAGTGTACATGAAGAAGAATTAAGATGATCGCAAAGGCTGAGTCACTTGCTGTAATCACAGAGTGGTGGTCATCACTGGCCACCCATGTCTATATGGCATTCAAATACTATGAAATACTTGCGTCTTTATTTCAAAATGGTTTAAAATCATAGACTATTATAACTGGTAAATAAAGAGTTGTAACACAGAATAGACAAATGGGTAATAGATAGAATAGGAAAGTTTAAAAAAAGAGAAAAAGCAGGAATCCAATAGAGACAATTATTAATTCAATCTGTCTCTTTTTAAATTCATAAAGGCATTCATTAATGCCACTACAGCCCTAGAGTATAGCTCTGCAGTGTTTTGTCTTTTCATCTCTCTGATACCACCATCTCTGCGCAGGCCGATCCTTGTCTGACAAGGACTCGCAGCTAAAGCTGCCACAGCTCTTGAATAACTCAACGGTAACCTTCACAGAGTACGTCGGGCTGAAACAACGGAGCTCCATTAGTGCTGTACATCAGCAGGGAGGAGAAGGAGGTGGCACAGGAGCACGGAGTGCTGACAGTTAAAGTCACCGCATAGAAACTACTGTATATCTTTCTAGATGTATTCACCGCATCACCGAGGATGCAACTTTTAAAGTAAAAAACAAACAGACAAAAGAAGCGCTGTTACCCAGGAAAATGCAAAACACTGTGGTTTTCGTCTTGGACCAATGGACCAGCTCTGTACTCCCAGCAGGCAGCCCAAATTATGTAACAATAAACAAATAAATACTTGAAATAATTTCATCTAGGGGCCCTGAATCTATAAGCTATGAAAATTGAACCTTTTTAATTGAATTATGGAAGTTAAGGAACTTCTCCATGATATTCACATTTCTTGGAAATGGCCTGTATTTGACATCTTTATTGGTTTGTTTAAATGTATAAGGGCAAAACTGAACGCTGAGGACCATTTACAGACAATAAGATGAAAAAAGTAAAAGGAATAGCAAGAAAACTTTTGATCTGCTGATTGAATGATGCACAATATACTTGAGAAACTGGAAAGCTGAAAGTAAGTTCAAGTTGAAAGGGTTGCAAACTGGATTCCAACAGAGGATATAAATATAATAGAAAGATGTGGTGATAAGTTACATTGAAATCAGCACATATGCGTTCAAGTACATGGGAGTGACAAATGTGTTTCATCCAGTTTGATAGAAAAAAAACATGCCTTATTGGCAATGATAAAGGTGCCTGTCCAATTGCATAAAGAAAAGATAGCTTAATGGCACATGCACGCACGCTAACGTTCATCCCTTCGGGACATGAAAGCAGAAAGAAGATGAAAAGAAGTTAATGTGTGTATCTCTTGAGGCACGGAGGAAGTCAACATAACAAGATTTAACAAATAAAGGTAGTTACTTCACCTGGAAATTAAAGTTTGAGTAAGTGGTTTGTGTTGAATGGCTCCCGTTGGCACATTTTTTAAAATCTCCTCAAAGTTCAAGAGTTCAAGAGTTTTTCAGATATGACTTAAAGTTTTCACCAGTGACTTCTGATGAAAAAATGACAGTTAAATTCTCTTTGTGCCTCAAGAGATACACACGTGAACACCTAAGATTGATGAGAATGAAACTGATGTGCTGCCTGCTTTTGTTTGTGGGCTCAGTTAAGGGGATGGATAACTTCATTACCCAGAATTCTATGCTCTACCCACAGATTGATGAACACCTTTTCCCCCATAATGGTCTGCTCTCCTTCTTTCTGAATACTGCAGTGATGAGCATTAGCACGTGTCCATCTGTTTCCCATGCAATCGACAGGCGCTTTTGTCATTCCAATGTACTTTTGATTACACCCAGATGCTTTTTTCAATGGATTTATCAACACTTATTTGTATTGATAGTATGATATGCCCATTTCTGGGTTTGAATCCAGCTCACAGCCCTTTACACTTGAACTTACTTTCAGCCAGAGGCTTTTCCTCACCGTGTTATGCAGTTGGGCTGACAAAGGTATGCCTGCCAATGAGCCTGGACCAGAAAAAAAAGGAAACCTGAATGTCACTGAACAGAGGCTGTGAATGAGATCATTGTGCGCCGAGGGTTTTTTTTTGTAGCGCTCCCAAAGCGACGGAGCTGCTTCCAAAAGCACGCCGCTGTCCAGTCTCATTTGTTCTCCTGTTTGCTTTAGACGGACTGCTGTCCCCGAAAGAGGTTTATAGTATTGACCTGCCTGTGGAAGTCGACCCGCAGCCTCGCTGCACACCTGCGCCTCCCTCCACACACGCACACACACGCATACACACACACAGCGGCATAATGAAGCTCAAGGGTGGCTGATCCCAAGGATTCAGCTCTGTAAGAAAACTTTGAACTTGCATCGACTGACAGAGGAGAATTTACAGTGTTGTTTACACCCACACAGCAGCCTTGTGTAGAGATTGTATTCTGTCCCATCATCATCAGCATACTTCTGTACGGGAGGAAGTATAACAGGGAGATTTTTGGCAAATATCTGTTGAGTACAAAGATGTGTTTGGGAAGTATTTTGGAACTTGAAATCAAGTTAAGGTTGCATTACTGATAGAACTCTTGTCTTGTTTTGGCTTGTAAAATTTCTCATCTTTAGAAGAGATCATTTTTTAAAATCAGGTGTGTAGAAGCAGGGAATCCTCTAAAACCTGCAGGACTGCGACCCATGTGGTTATTCATAACAATTGTTTAAAAACATGGTAACAAATTACAGTTATTTAAAAACCCTTTTCCACTACTGGAGAAAAAGTAGTCAGATCTGAGCTATAACTGTGGGATAAATAATAGTTTTAAGACATGAAACCTTAATTCTAATATACTAAATCAGTATTTTCAGATGGTATGTCAGATTTTGTCAGACTTTGTGATAATTTTGAGACATTTGGTCAAAATAGCTTAGAATTTAATCAGATTTTAGGCATGGATGTTTAGACATTTTTTTTGTTACACAAATAGATTTTATTATTTTTCTACAACAATATCGAAAACACCTGTTTTATCTAAATGCCAGTTAAGGCTAAAACTATAAATGTTTTACTATATATCTTTTAGTTATACTGTACAGATACTGTGCACCACTTGACTCTTTTTTCCCCCTTTATGTATTAAAATCTATTTACTTAGGAACTGCAAATGATTTTTTTATATTTTGATGATTTAAAAAAATAAATCATAATGCATATCAGTTCATGTCTGCTTCAAAATCTATCAACAAAACATTTTATTTTACAGTTCTGGATCCAGATGTAAGACATTGTATTTGACATGACATATAAGACCTTCAACCTCTCACTCAATGAATCGTGTTCCATTATTCCCTCCTCTTTGCACAGCGGGTAGACTCTGCTACCCATAAGACCACCTAAAGTTCAGCTGGTTTTGAAGTTTTTCACTTTATGATCTGGATAAGATGAGTTTTGTAGCAGCTGATCAGTGTTTGGCAGGAATGCCCTATTTTTTTCTTTCATCTGTGAATTGCCATATTGTGTAGATTGTCAACTTTTGCCTCACACATTTTTAGAGCACAGGAGCCTTTCTTCACGCTGGCATTTACCATCCTGTTAAATTTAGCTAAACCTGACAGCCAGAGGCCAAACAGCCCCTTGGAACCATGGGAGGTTTGCCCTCAAGGGACAGCAGCGAGTGCAGAAATTTGATGAGTTAGGGAAAAGAAAATGTAATACACAATCTGTTGTCTCTCCCATAGTTTGCAACAGAACTTAATAGTGGAGTTAATGCTCATGTACTATGGCCAAGCACAAAGGATTTCCTGGTAGGTATCTGTTTAGAAATGAGATTTGCAACATGATTAAAATAATGGCCATTAGGCTGTTGAAACTTTTGATGCATTTCTTGAATTAAAAGATGTTTTGTTGTTATTTTTAGTGTTTTTCGGGTAGCTAGAAATATCTAATTCTGTTACTCAAGCCATTTATCCTTGAATACTCTGGCCAACGGTAAATGCTGAAAAGGATATTCACAAATTAGAGCAACATGAGCACCCTTCGGGACATTGAGGACAGGACAATGAAGTCAATAGCACGGCTCCATAGTGAAGGGTCAGCCTGGTCTGTCAGCTGTCCAGCTCTTTGACAATCTGAAGATATTTGGCTTGTCATGAAACAGAATCCACCACACAGATTATGCTGAGCAGCCAGAAAATGATACACAATAAAAATGGAGAAAATAATATATACTTTCCCGGTGGTCCAACAACAGATCTTGGGATTTCCAAGATGTTTACAGATTGTTAAAAGATGAAAGAAGACAAACCCAGAAGCAAAGATGGCCCTGTTTCAGTTTTGTTTCCATCATATTCGGTATGAGCTAAGATTTTATTACATTGAATTTGGGGAAAAAAAAAGATTCCTCCTGACTGTGCTCCCTGCAATGCCTTTTTGCTGTCCCTTCACCCCCCAAAACTCAACCCCCAGCAGACCTGGTGTCACCTATCAGGCAACATCGAGAGCGCAGATGATGTGGTGCCGCTTGACTGCCTCCTCCTGCTGTTTCTCTCTTTGTCCCTTTCTTCTTTCCTCCCGTGGAGAGGTCAGCAGTTCTGCTGATGCATCTGACCATTCTGTCTGCAGAGAGATTGTAAGACGTGGCAAACGCTCCGGGAGAAACAATAGGTGGATATCCACCACATGCCACCTCTCTGACAGCAGCGAATCATGCGTTTAGTTGGCTTTCGCATTCCTGTCTGCCTGTGGGAGGAGTTCTTTTTTTCCATGTGTCATCCAGAAACTGGGTTTCTAAACGTGTCCCCACATGTCACGCTACTATAGAATGGCAGAGGTGGGAGGTGAAATTAAAGGAGATATTTGAAAAAGAGGACCTAGCCTTGGTAATTCTTTTCCTCAAAGCACCAGATTAGTGTTTTTGACCATGCTGAGCACAATCCCCTTAAAAAATAAACACCACAACTGGTGCGTGTGCCCTATGTGCATTCAAATTATTCCAAAATTGTTCCACAATGTGTAACATGAACTGTCTCCAGAGTTCAGTTAAATGTGGAATTGATCTAAGAATTATTTTCGTAAATACGCCCTAACTGATATAATCCCCTTAGTTACTTTCTATCTCTGACCATGATTGCAGCCTCAGAAATATTGATCCATCTTTATACAGCCACCAATGAGAAAAGACAGTAACAGCTGAGCTGAAATGATTAGTCAGCCTTTGTGTAAAAGTCGTGTCCCTTGGTGAAGGATTATCATTAAGCCGATGTGTGTTGTGTGTGCCTTGGAATCAAAGCAGGTTGAACATCCCTCTTTCTCTTTTCATGAAGCCTTATCTCTCTCCGTGTCTTCTTGTTTCTCTATCAGGGTCAGGATTTTTTTCTCAATTCAGGCTGGAGGGAGTAGTCACTTTGCTATTCGATCACAAATCCCTGTAATGTTGAGCATATAAACATATCTGTGTTGAACACATTATTGTTGTGTGGAGGAATCCTCATTTTGTGTTTTTTTCTATTTCAGAAAGCAGCTGCTGTTTTTATTTATTTTTCCAAAACATTCCTTTGTACACCAGTTTTCTGCAGCCCCGTTCTTTAATTTAGCTTTCAACAAATTGAACACTGCAATTGCCTGCGGAGGGATTTGATAACTGGGTTTTATCGTTGAAAATTTGCCACCAGTTGTGAGAGTAAACAGACTTAAAAGATGCATCTAGAAGTTTAAAACAGCTCAAATTGGACTCCAAGAATGTACACCTGCCAAAGCCTTCTCTTTTAAAGAGTATTGAGTCTGTAAAATAATCAGTAGTTTACCCCTGCAGTATCATAGTCGGAGGTTTTGAAAAAATAGACCATAAGCTTGACCAGATATTGGATATTTGACAGATTTCAAGCAGCTGTATACCTTTATAGCAATACATTGGCATATATTAACAATGTAATGTGCTCTCACTTGTTTAGAATAGTTTTATTAGAACTTCACTGCTCAAACACTTGCATTTAAAAATGCCCAACTTGTATAATCTTTAACCACTTTTCAGCTGCAGTTTGAAGTTTGTTCCTACCGTGAACATAAAATAGTCAAATAAGATGAAATATCCATGTACTCTCCCTCTGAACATTTCAGCTAGCAGCCTTCGTTTTTTTTTTTATTCATGGCTGTTCTGATGATTCAAAGGTCCAGTTTATTTCTTAGCTGGAGTTGAAGGAGACTTTAAGCCCCTGAGGCTTCCTTTAGGTGAAGGTTTACATAAAAGGAAGGAAAGTCTAATCTTATAATGTTCATAATAGTAACATTCATACTAAGGGGGAGAACTGGGATCTCTCTATGAGCTCCTGATGCACACACAGACCTGTACAGTTTAAAACCTGTTAGATAATTTACGGCATGAACAAAGTGGTTCAGCTGACTGTTAAAATGATGAATCTGCCACTGTCACAGATTATTAAGGGAATGTTTATTGTCGGGGACTGGAGAGGACAAGACCCAAAAATGAACAGGAGACTGAAGGACAGGGGTATAAAATGGATTTATTATGGGAGGGGGTCCAGGTCGATGGGTGGGGAGTCTTGTCTGGGGGTGTCCGTGCAGGAGGTTGTGAAAAAAGGAATTCAAAGGTGAGCTACTGGCTAGTTCTGGTTAAAGGCTGAGCTGTCAGGCTTGGCATTCGAAAAAAAACATGGGATACTCTGGCAAAAGACGTAATTATCTGGCATAGGAGCAGGCTTTTAATCAGTATTTGACTGATAATGGGCAGAAGGTTTGAGTGTTCCTAGAACCCGACCCACCCAGTCTGAAACAAACAGAATACACCATCCAGCCCTCAATGATCAATAGAAATGAATAGAAAACAAAACCACCACCACCACAGTTTATCCTCTCACAGTGTGTGGTGGGAATGAATTGGAGCACTTGGGCTCATTTTGTTTAAAAGCAGGTCCCGTCTACCATGTTGGCAGCTCACTTTTTCTTCCAAGAAAGCAGAAAACAAATTGCCGTGTTCTCAGAGGCAAAAGAAAAATGACAGCCATCAGATGGGGGGTGTGTGACACGACATGAATGATGACTTATCTAAAACGTCAGAGCTGGGATCTAAAGATCAATTTCCTTTTTCATCAGGGGGCTGAGGAGTGATACAAAAACCTGTCACAGAGCCATGGCTTTTGAATCTGTACAGATTTGATTTTTGACAGGTTAATCATCCCCCCCCCTTTTTTTTTGCCATTACACGATGCATTCAGCCTGTTGCTTATTTCTGACTGTGGTGTTTGACCCTGCTACTGCACCTCCTCTGTGACTGGACTGGTAATAAATGGTGTTGATTTCTGGATGCTTGGCGTACTGCAAAGAGAACAAGTCAACCAGAAACTCTCACTGCTTTGCCGACAAACACTTAAAAAGAAGAAAGTTAAAGAAACTTTAACTGTCATACCAAAATATTACCTCACGTATCACCATCTGCTTGTATATCTAACACAGTTTTAATGTGAAGCCTTTTAACTGCCCTTAGATGGGTGTCACTGGAGTCACCATTCCATCACAAGGCCAAAAAGTGACCATTAACTACACACACTCACTCACAGTCTTCAATTAACCTTGCATGCATGCTTTTGGTCTGTTGGAGAAAAACCCACACATGCTTGGGGAGAACCTTCAGTCCTCTTGTCTTGGGATGACGGTGCTAGTCACCACACCGCTATGTAGCCTGCTCAAAATCCAAACACACGTCCTTCTCTCGCCCTCTCTCTCTTGCCCTCTCTTTCCCTCACCCCCAACCGGCCGAGGCAGATGGCCGCCCACCCTGAGCCATGGTTCTGCTCGAGGTTTCTGCCTGTTAAAAGGAAGTTTTTCCTTGCCTGTGTTGCCTAGTGCTTGCTCATGGTGGGAATTGTTGGGTTTCTCTAATTAACTTCAGAGTAGGGTCTGACCTGCTCTGTTTGGAAAGCGCTGTGAGACAACTGTTGTTGTGATGTGGCGCTATATAAATAAAATTGATTTGAATTGAATTTTGTTAATGGGTGGCTGAATGGCTCTACACATTAACTATCCAAATTGTCTAGAACCAAAACCCCAAATATAAGATTCTTTTAGCAAAAATGCTGAAATTTCAATACTGAAATGATAGTATCAGCGTGTTTTAGTAGCAATGACCACACTTCTATAGACTGAAATGTGAGATAGTGCACTTGATAGTTACATCCAGAACATTGTGTGATTGGGGATATGGGAGAAACATACCAAGTACACACAGATCCCTCAGATCTAACAACTTTAGCTCAAGGCGAAATCAGTGGAGGATTTTAATAGAAGGAGGATGATTTTTTTGTAATAAGGCAAGATGACATCAGAAAAAAGAAAGGGGTATTAGGCTGGTGGTGAATCTGTGTCTTACAAAGAGGAACGGAGGGAGGATGAATGATGCTTAATGGAGAAAGAGAGGAGGAGGAGAAGGGCTGAGTAGTGCAGAGGCTGAAAGGATCAATGAATGAAGACAAAGGGTAAGCAAGAAGTAAAGATGGATTAACAGATATGATATAGAGGTGGATGGTTGAAAGGATGGATAGATGGATGGAAGAATAACAAATGAGGGAGATGGATGAGATAAGTGGAAAGTGCAGAACAAGTTGAGGAGTTTGAGATTTGATGGAAGCATGATCCCGCTCCTGAGACTAATTTACATGATTGAAAAATAAAAACCAGCTTATCCAAAACACAAAATCTTCATAATCATATAAAATCTAAATAAAGCCACAGTTTTTGTAATGTACTTAGTTTTTTGTTGGAATGTTTTAAAACCAAATGTTTCCATTAGGGAATAAGCGGTAACGATAATGGATGGATGGATGGATGGATGGATGGATGGATGGATGGATGGATGGATGGATGGATGGATGGATGGATGGATGGATGTTCTAAAACTATTCAGCTGGCTGTGAATTAAGTTGTCTGCCATTTCTATCCCAGATAAAAATACTCAATCATTGATATAATTTCTTCTCTTAATCTTCACCAGTTAGGGGTAATTTTCATCATGTAAGATTTTAAATTTATTCACCTCTGTGTGGTACATTTCAAGTATTTTTCAAGAAGCAACTGCTCTACATGCAGAAGAGCCTTTAAAAATTTAGGATCTTTACAATTTTGGGTGAAGATAGTTATCTTATATTGATTTTCAACAAGTCTGAATCACTTTTTTATTTTTAAATGTTGGGAAAAAAAGAGCAAAACCACCATCATGTAAATGTTTCTGTCCTTTGTTTAAACGTTTTACATACCATAACAATGTTTTGCCTCCAGTCACCTGATACACAGTTAAAAAGACCTCGCTGGGGGCAAAATATCCGGTCTGCATCAACTTGATCACTAGAAATTACAGTTTTCTTCCCGTCTTCCTTCCTGCGTGAGATTCCTGTGTTTTGACAGGCTGTGGACAGAGCTGTGCTGCTGCTCTGTTCTTACCGTGTTTCCATGGCAGGAAAAGCTTGTCTCACCTTGTTCTGAACCTCCTCTCTACCTTTGAGTGCTGTGCAGTTTGCTGAGTCTCAGCACTTTGACAGGACCATACTTGAGGGCATGAATTTTTACTTTTGAGCTATAGTGTTACACATTACCGCCCACAGAACACAAAGTTGATCTCACGCAGAAATATACAATCAAATGCGCCATTTTATTTAACTGTTTGCACGGGGGCTCAAACATCCGTCTCAAAGTTGGGATGTGTTAGTTTGGAATAAAATAATTGAACAAGGCACACGCACACACATGCACGCACGGACACAGACACACACACATGCATGCATGCACATGTATTAGGTGAGAGAATCATTGTATACGATTTCTATTGCCAGAACAGCAACAGCATTGTATTTCAGCAAACCTTTTTTACAACATGCTTAAAATTCAAGGGACACCGGTAAATTATAGTGTCTGCCTATAGTCTGACTGTGTTTTATTGAGGAGAAATTTGAAGGTCTGTAAACAAAAACTGTATTCACTGTCATGAACTGCCAGTGGTGTAGTGAGCAGATGGATCCAAAAGCAAAGGGCCAGGGAAGGAACACGGGGGGGGGGGAAACCAGGAACTTAGGAAAAAACTACTAAAACTACTAATATTAGATTAACATAAGGCCTAGCAGAAACTGAATACAAAGAATACAGCTAAACTTGGGAAACACCAAAAAACTAGAAATAACACCAAAGGATCACACCTGAAAAGGAATGAAAAACACTCCCCGGGGAGGAAAGGTGAACCAGAACTGGAGGTACATGTCCAGAATGCTAAACACAACCTTCACACATGACAACGTACACTTTCTGCTTCTGGTTTTACGGCATAAACGAAGACATGATTAGCATGATTATTAGTGAATAAGAGCAGTTTTATTGGGAATTCAGCTTTATTGATATGATAATGAACATATATGCCTATTATTTTTACAAAAAATGCAAAATATGGAATTTTAGAGCATGAGCAAAGTGCCTAAGTCCATTTAAATTTTACATTTTTCAATGGATCCTAAATGGAGCTTCTGTGTTCCGTGTAGTGTTTACTCATTTTTGTAGTTGTCGTCTACCTGTACTGTATTCACTTTTCAGGTTTTTCACCATTTAATAATCCATGTTGTGCAACCACAAAAATTCCTTGAGAGAGTGGAATAAAAGGTGAGGTTTCAGAAACTTTGCAGCTCAAGTAAAACAGATTGCTTCTTTTCTCGTGGGCAAAAACGACAAAATATAAAACACTGGGTCCAAAGTACGGCAAACTGATAGTTGTTCCTTTCACATGGCTAGAAATAGTTGCGTTGCAGTATCATGTCAGCTGTTTTGATGTCAGCCATACCAGGAGCAGCAACCATCTAATTCATAATGGCTGCCTGCCTGTCATCATCGTCTGCTTATCGGCGTCAGAAATGTTTTACTCCAGTGATTGCTGTTATTAATACGGTTTTGAAAGAGCTTGTGAATGTAATGCTTACAAGGCATATATGTAAACAGGTTTTCATCTAACTTTCCAAATTACTCAATGCCTCGTATTCGGTTACAAAGAGGAAGCCAAAATAGCAACAGCGTTTTCTCCATGGCGCCTGACTGCAGCTGCTTTTTTTTTTTTTTGTGCCTGGAAAGTGTTTGCCACCTAAATAATCTGTGTTGGAAGCAGGGGGAAAGTATGTGAGGACCATACAGGACTTTTCTAAATACGCGCAAAGCTACTTTACATGAGCACGAACAACTGCTTAGACCAAGCTCAGTCACGGCTAAGTAAATAAGCACACACATTACAAAGTAAAATAAAGTTTTGTTTTGAAAAAAAAAAAAGTAAGGCTGCATGAGAGGTGATAAGAATACGAAGTATGGTAAACAGAGTCAGAGTGTATGAGTGAGTACAAGACAATGAAACTGCTTTTAACCCTTTAAAGCCTGATCCAAGAATAGAACAAAACAGAAAATTACTTTTTTTGTTTTAAGTCTTTATTTGGCCTTTTAACAAAATATATACAAAGAAAAATCAGAAATACATTTTTGATATTAATAATTTATTACTATGCGATAAATCAAGATTATTTTTTGTGTAGTCTTCTGCCCCCTGTTATCAGGTGTATCTGATTGTGTACAATAGGATTTTGAGCAAAGTTTTTACCATTAGATTATGTAAAATGTGTCAGACGCAAAACATTTCAGAAACTGTGTGTATCAAATATGATACATTTGGCATTACAGGGTTAAAAGACACTGTAAGTATCAAATCATTATAGAAAGCAGCAACTATAGAAATTTTGGCCAGACGTGCAACTTCCTCTTTCTGCCTGTAAGCCAAATTGTCATATCTTGAAGAGTGACTTCAAGCTACCGTGTCCCACCTGAATCCCAGAACACTCCTGGACACTCCTCTAATGTCTTCCTCCTCTACTGTAAAAAATGTCCTTTCCACATTTTCTCCTCAGCTCCTGGTTCCCTGAGTTAGCACTTTGCTCCTGTGCATATTTTTCTCAAGGGTGACCACAGTGGCCTGTGCCACTTTCTGTAAGGACACAGCAATGGCTTTGTCCTCTTTAATGACTAAACTATTTTGTGAACCTCTTCTTTGCCTTGTCTTTGTCAACTGGAAATCCATACAAGCATCGTTTTCTTATTATTCTACTTGTTTAATTAATCTTTAATTGTTGGCACGATATTAATAGAAAAGCATAAATGATTAATAGAGCCATTGTGCATTGGTGGGAGTTTTGGGGTTGTGCTATGAGATATTAGTATAGAACCAGAGGGTTTTGATCTGTTGGTTTCCTTAGTTAAACAACCTTTCTTTTTTAAATAGAATGAAATAGATTTCTATAGATCTGATTGGATCACAATTGATTAGATATCAATTGGCTTGCATTAGACAATCACATTAGCAGACAATTACCTTTTTTAGTCGTTATAAGTTTTGACAGCTTTACTCAAGTGTTCTGCTGGCTAGAGATTAGGCCTGAATTTAAAATCTAGATTGATAGCTATAGTAGGAACTTGTTTGATGGTAAAATATTTGCATTTTGAGTTATGGAGAGATTGAAATATTCCCCTGTTTCTGAAACTTTTTATTATTTCTGGGCCAGTAACCTTTAGCTTTTTAATTGTCATTGGTGCAGCAACTCCAAAATGATGTTCAACAACTTACCGATAAAAAGGAATAATGCACCTGAAAACAACTTTAAATTAAATTACCAGTAAAAGTTTTTGGTGAGGTCTTTTGATTACTGGCATTCTTAAAGGTAAAAAGGTAAGACCTGGAAATGGTCTCGCTCCTCAGTCAGGTCTAACTTTAATGAGCTTTATTTGAAGCTTTGTTCAGGCAGCTTCTTTAGTATTTCTTCAATGGAAGGGAAGTTTTAGGCTCTAACTTCACCAATTAAGGGACTCTGTGTTCTAGTGATTATATTGTGTTAAGGGAAATAAATATTTGGAACAGAAACTTATTATTTAAGTGGAATGGGGTGGATGTTTGGTGGTGTTGAAGCATTTTATTGAGACTTTAACTGAAAATATATTAAAAAAAGATAAGTAAACGCAAAGCTCATCATTAAAATACAGTGAAAAACATCTTGGGTAAAGACCTGATTTACCTATTCAGTTGAAGTTATTATATCTGATGTCTGAAGCCTGTCGAATCTTAAAGATTTAGGTACCTCTTCTACTGTACTGAAATGTCATTCTCAGCCCATACTTCAGATGTTACATTCACTTGACAAACCGTAACAGTGAATTGCTCTCTGCAGGATGCTGATTGGAGGCAATGCCAGTTATTGTCAGAGATGATTGGACTGATGCCTTATCAGCCTTTAGGGGGCCGTTTGCCAGGAAATCCACCTGCCACATTTAAAAGAAAAATTTGTTAGACATTCTTGCAAATCGAGCGAGAGACTAGACACAAAATCCTTTTATCGAGATTTGCTCATATCAAACTTCTCTCCAACACAAAAATATTTATATTATCTGCAAATAACTTAGGAGCTATCCTTCCATTTTCTATACCGCTTACTGGGTCATGGAGAGGCTGGAGCCTATCCCAACTGACAAAGGCCGAGAGTTAGAGTACACCCAGGACAGGTTGCAATTCTACTGCATGACTATCCATCCGTTTTCTATACTGCCTACAGTAGTATGGGGGCGGGGGAGGGGGCTATTTCAGCTGATAACGGGCCATTTTCGTTTTTTTACAGCCTGAAGAGATAGTAAAACTAATTGCCCGCCTTTAAGACAACAAGTTCTCACATCTCTAGGAATTTCATTATGACACACCTATAAATAGATATAAAGGAAGTAAAGGAACAGACTGTTGTTCTAATCACACTCTAGATGTGCTCATTGCAAAGGGTGTTTTTATTTTAACTGAGATGTTGTCGATGTTGCTTTGTCTGATATTTTTATATATTCCCAAATGCGCTAACAACGGGGTCTGCAGTTATTCAGGGAAGACTCATAAACGACAACGCAGGGACACGGTTGATGGAAATGATGAGGTTTGAAAACAGTCTGTGTTCTAATGCTGATGATCTGCTGAACACATCAATTATGGTAAATGTTTTGGATACCATTGCTACTGTCAAAGTAATAATGATTACAAGCAGACAAAAAGGCACCATGGAGAAGAGAAGACTCGCTTAGGGCACAGAAAAGGGGGTCAAAATTCCAGGTTCATTTTTAGATCTATAAAAATAAATAATGTGTGTATGTGTGTTCAAACTTTGCAGAGAACAAGGGAGAGTTATTTTTCTTAAAACATCAAAAACTGAAGAAACAACTATTGGTTACTGTTTGCCACAGTGAGCAGAATAACAAACCACCCCCCAGTCTCACTGCCCTTGGAATTCATTTCCACATCTAAATGTCATGAGTTTGCAATTTCTTTTTAATGACAAAGTTCAAGGCATTAAAAATGCAATAGCTTCCACAAGACATAACTAATCTAGCCCAGTTGAACATCTAGAGCTGACACAGTTTACACCTGTCACTAACAAAACCGTGACATCCTCCATGGAGGAGTAACCCACTCGATTCCTAAAGTCTGTGCTAAGCAGTTTTGTTACCACAATTTGCTCATCTAGTCAACATCCCACTTTAGACCTGAGCAATTCTAAAGGGTGTAAAACCTGCTGTCATTAAGCCTCTTTTAAAGACAGTACTGAACAACTACCGGCCCATATAAAAAAAATTCACTCATAGTAAAGTCCTATAAAAAGGACCAGCAGCTTACTGACTTTCTCCCGTCTAGAAATGTGTTTTATGCTTTCCAGTCAGGCTTTAGGCCCCCGCCACAGCACCGAAACAGCTCGGATCAAGGTGACAAACGATATCCGCCTGAACACACACGCGGGCAAAGTCTCGGTTTTAGTTCCGTCGGACCTGAACGCCACCTTTGATACAGTTCAACGTACTAGTTTTTTTACGGGAGGCAAAACCAGGTGGGAATCCCTGATACGGCTTTAAACTGGTTCAAGTCCTACCTCGAGGACAGGTGTTACCCGAATGGGTCTGACCTGTGGGGTTCCCCAAGGTTCAATCCTGGGGACCCACTGAAATAATTATTTGTGGCCCAGAGAAAAAAAAGAGAAAGTCTCATCAGTCACCTTGAGACTCTCTCTAGAACTGAAGCACCAGGTTTAAAAAATCTCTTTATACAGGACGAGACCTGAACTTTAACTGTTGCATTTGATCAATTTAATCAAAAACACATCACCAGAATTAGAGGACTAGTGTCTAAACCAGACCTAGAAAGACTAATCCATGCATTTGTCTCGAGCACGTTAGACTACTGTAACGGCCTGCTCACTGGGCTCTCTAAACCAGCTATTAGACGGACGCAGAACTAGAGTTCTGACCAGAACCAGGAAATACGACCATCAGTTCAGTTCTCAGGTCTCTGCTCTGGTCTTCCTGTAGCTCAGAGAACAGACTTTAAAACAGCTCTGCTTGTGTACAAGTCTCGCCATGGTCTAACTCCAAAGTATCTCTGACATGAATCAGCTCAGACTGAGGGGTTCTCCCTCAGGTTCTTGTCTCCTGCTGGTGTCGAGGGGTCAGAACTAAAGGCTGCTTTTCAGTATGATTCTCCTAAAATCTCAGTTGTCCAAGAATGGAGACAGGCCTTAACTCTGAGAATGTTTAAACTCAGGCAGTTCTATTTAGCTGTGCATATGGAAACTTTAATCTATATAAATCAATTATTGTTTAATTTGTTTTTGTTTTTTTAAATAACCAAACTTCTGTTTTTTCCATTTTTCTTTTCTAAACACACAAAATGTGCTATACAAATACATTAGCCTTGCCTAATCATTGTTATTGATAACAAATATAAATAAAGGTGAGGGGGAGCAGATAGGAAGCTGTGGCAGCCATCAATTGGATTATATTCAATTTAGCTGATTATGCCACACACAGCACATTAACTTGTTTTGTGAACAACATAGGCAGCCAATAGTTCAACATTTGTGTCTGGAAGTCGAGCAGAGGGATGTTAAAGTTGTTCATAGGCATGTCTCAACAACCCCCGTGGCCTCATTATCAACAGGAGCCGGAACACTTTGATTATGTTTTTAAATCATTAAAACCATTACTTACCTTTAAAATTCATGACCAATGTAAAAACGCAGAATTATTTGTCTCTGTAAATTTTCAGGGGAATAAAATCTTGACATAAATTGATTAATATCTGGATATATATTGCATTTCAGGAGTTATATTGGCCTAAATTGAATGTTTAGTCAGTTGCACAGATGTTTTACAAGTTTTATCACTGCAATACCAAGGCCAAATTCCAAATGATTAAATTTTATTATAGTTAAATGTGATATTCTCACTTGAAAAACCAGAGTAAAATGATTACTTTTTTTTGTTTCATACAAATTAAATAAGAGGTTTTACACGAATTAAGTAGTAGTGAGACTGGAGGGGGGAGGAAACCTGTTATTTTTTATGCGTAGCTTACTGGATTCAAACACTCACTGGTGGCCGAAGCACATACGCACACAGCTGCTGCTCCTCTCACACAGAAATCAGTGTGCTTTGTTTCCTGAGTCAAGTTCCCTGCGGCTGCTAAAGCTGTCAGAGAGCTGTCTCCCTGGTAATCAATACATCCTCATCTGTGTGTGTGGGTGTGTGTCTGTGTGTGTGTGTGTGCCAGTTATGGATGGTTGGTCTGGTGGTTTTTACAACCATAAGGAGCAATGGGCAAACTTCCTGCACTCGTTTTTATGAGCATTAGATTTAGTTTTTATGATCTAGTGCTTCCTGAACTTACAGCATCATATTTCCTAGAGCAGATGTCCTTTCCAAACGAGTCTTTTACTGAACACCCTACTTGATTAATTTCTGTCCTAAAATTTAAAACAAAACACAAATGAGTAGCTGCTTCAACTTGAGATAGACATTTTCCGCTAAAAGAGCACTTTAAAGTGCTATTACAGGTACTGTAGGTCTGATTAGTCCAGTTCAAACAAAAGGAAATGTTCTATTAAGGAAAAGATGACAAAAGGTTGGGAAGCTATGGTACTGGGATCCTCAAAATGTCCTCAATTATTTTTCAGCAGCAACAGAATGGCTTCATTCTCTGCAAAGTAACTCAATAATAAGGAATCGGTCCTATGAATCGTTTATTATCAGAAAAGAAGCCACCATGAATAGCTACTGCAACTTTGTTTCCTTACAGAAGTAAAAAGAAGAATATGAATGGGGACACTTGGTATAATTTTGGTTATTTGCAAGCAGATATGCTAGCATGAGTGTCAGGCCGTAACTCTGCCGATGGGACATAGAGTGATATTTCACTTTTACTCCTGTCTGATGGATCTGAAGTTTCAGGAGGAGCTTCGTGAAACACGATCCCTCTGGTATTTCACCAAACCGGATTGCAGTTGTCCTGCAGCGCGGGTCCCCGGCTCTCCTCTCATGGGCCTCAAAATACCATTTGGCAGCTTCACAAAATCCCATCATGAAACCATTTGGCACTATTTTTTTCATTCGAGTGGTATTTAGTGCATTTGTCCACTGTGGAAAAATGGCTATTTTAGCACTGCCATCAAATTCTTGGTACCACTGAAACTGGGAGCTGCAGGGTTACTATCTGTGTCACCTCACATGACTCGCCACAGTAGAAAGCAGATACATTATTTTAAAAAGGGATTCTCATGTGGCCATGGGTGTGATGGCTGTGTACAACCTGCAGGGGAATTCCAGTAGCCTCTAATTGATATTCCTCATACTATTCTGGAAACTACAGAAGATAAACAGTCAGGGTATCGTGGGCCTGCTAACACAGTTATCTACACATAGGCTTTTGTTATCTTTGGTTTTCATTACCTTCTGTTTAGACTGTTTATTAAATCAGTTTCCCTGAGCTACAAACTAGGGCTTGGAAATTATGTTTGTTGTCAAAGGTAAAATGTGCAATCTTGAGGGATGATGATGTGCACGCACCATATAGAAGCAGGCCAAATGCTTCGGGCCGGCAGAAGCAACCAAACCGGGAGAGAGAAATTTAATAGATTTCGATCGTCGAGCAAATTTGGAATTATGTAACGTGGCTTTAACGTGTTGTGTTGTCTTTTTTTAAGTGACTGCAAATCGATTTACTGAGTTCAGTTAATTCTGCATGCCGAAAGACATTAAACTTTTCAGATTGAAGGCCAACACCATGCATTATGTATCACAGCAGGCCTGTGAAATGAAACACGGTATGTTGCTTAGAACATCTGCAAGTTTTTGATCTTTTTTTTTTTTTAGAAACACTTGGCCCTCATATTTAATTGAAATTAATGGGCCTTAAGGACGAAGAGGACAGTTATTCAGTGAAAAGGTGGAGCTTATATGCTCATTATTGTAGAGGTAAACAGGAAGAAAAAAAGCAATAGGCGTATCTCTGCTTTTATTTGAAATTTTTTTCTGTTTGTGTATATTTTTTTAACCCCCACAATTGGGTTGATCTAGTCATTTTTATTTACTGTCCTGCACATTATCAAATAACAGTAGAATGGATTTTGATTATAAACAGATGTACAATGAGTCACTGACACATTCCTCCATTATATTTATGTATATTTACGAATCTACCTAGTCTCAAATCAAGCCTTTGTTTTATCATACATAACTTTTCAGCCCTCTTATTGGTGGACCTTGACTCTTTTGGGTAATTTATTTGATGATCCTGCACTCATTACATGCTCGATGCTGATATTTGGCTGCAGGAGCGTTAGCAGTCAAAGCGGGGCGAGGGTTGACAGCTGGATTTATGGGTGCTGGGAGACACACGATCGGCCCGTCGTTTGTTATGTCCTACCAGAGGGAAGCTTAATTGGACCGTCGGTATCGTGAAAAAGTCAAATCGGAGAGCTAAGTCGCAACTTTCAGAGTCTGCCATTTCCCCAGATGAATACGTGTGGCTATTAGAATAACAATGCTAACCTTGTGGCAGAACACAGACCTCCTCCTTCTCTTTATGCAGATGAATCCACCACTGAACAGCATGATATTGGTGATCAGATGAATAATAAAACAATAAACAGCCTTGAAAATTCAAGTGACAATATTCTACTTACTTTAGCTGTTTTGAATACTTTGCAAAAGCTGTATTTAAATCAGGATTTTTGGCAGGGGTGGTGACAGTTTTATGTGTCCCTCAGCTGTGTAGCACATCACTTGTTTCTGCAGCTTGCCTCTAGAGAAATCAGCAGAGAGTCATGCGGCTAGCACTGTAGGGTGGCACGGGAATAACTCAATTAAAGAGAGGCAAAGGAACACATTTGAATTAATTTAGGAGGATTTACCTTCTTAACAAAAAGCAGCAACGCATCTGTTGCCGTCTGACTAGGAAACTCTCTCACTCCTGTCTCAACATGGAGGTTCAGAAGTTCAGACTCAGAAAAGCTGTGGGTTTTAAACAGAGTTGCTGCACTATTTAGCTGCCCTTGATTTCCACAGTTCCACCTCCATCCTCTAATGTAATTTTCTCCAGAACAGCAAAGAGCTAACTCAGTTGTCTTTTTTTTGTACCATTCCATTGATAATTGCTTTACACAGAAAGAACATTCTCTAAACTGATACTAGAACTGCTTTGCTTGAAAAGTAGTTTTGACCCCACTGAATAGACCAAGCAACAGCACCAACATAACCTAAAGAACCCAGCAACTCTGGATCTTCTTATTTCTAACCCCAAATTTATAGCAAAATGCTGCAACACATTGATATACATTTGCAAATTCTAATCATAGATAACCCACAAAGGTCCAAACATAATATCATGTAAAAAAGTAAAAAATAAAAAGTAAAAAATAAACATTTGAGATGATTTCTATGGTTTTCAGAACATCCCAAGGGAAGGTTTTTCAATGGGGATTTATTTGGTCTTTTCCGGTTGTTGCTATTAATTGTTTTTAATGGTTCAGTTTAATTAATTGAATATTTAAGCAAATAGAGATTAGCAAAACAGACATGTTATACATCTTCTTACCTATGTCGAACTTTACCCTATTGATCTAGGTTGTTAATGACAAAAGCTTTGGTGCACAGCTGAAATACCCTGTGGGATTTAGTTGGGTTTTTTTCTCATGGTTTTTAGTTGTAAGCTTTCCAGAAAGTGCTGGACTGATTCCATACTTTTATCTACATTAACATTTTAAGACAAAAGATTACTCCAGTTGTCATTCGAAATACATTTCTAAGTTAAAAAGATGTCATTTGCCCTTTTCCACTGGAGAATTGCAGCCGCTTCCACTTGTGGAGAACTGAACTTTTAGGTCCTTTTTTGTGTTCGATTTAGCATCTGAAAAGACCAGTTTTACAAAGTTATCAGCAAAAAACAAACAACTCTGGTGTTGATGGGGGGATTTGACCTTATTGCTTGAAGTCCTTATCACAATAACTCTTTAAAACAGCTTTGCCGCTTCCTGAGTTGGGCAAATAATATTTTTTTATCTAAAATCAAGTCATCATCCATCAGTTTTGGCCAACATAACAGCTTCTGAGTTTTATAACTGGTTGCAAAAGTAGTGGATCTATTTTTTCTTTCGGAAACTGGAGACAGGAAGCCGCACTGGCTGTGTTGCCCCTCTTATAAATAAAATCCGAAGCACATCCAGGCACGGATACAGTGTGCCCTCAACTCCTCAGACATTTAGTCGACAAATCCCGGGTACGAGTCCCTGCGGGGGACATTGTTATTGAGCAAATTGGAGGAAATGTCACCACGACTCACTCTGGGTGACATTCTATTGCTCCCAAGGCTCAAATTTGTCAGAGCAGAAGGTGAAAGTCAAGTTATAGTCCCTGTTTTCTGAGAACTTACCTGTTCAATCCAATACACCTTTACAGGAACGTGTTAGCTCCTTTCTGCTTGCGGTCTAATTAAAGAGCGAAAAAATTGGATTTAGAACCGAGTGTAACCTTTGTCTCCCTGAAACCTGGACTGAAATGGACTGAGCTATGTTGGTCAGTCCAGTCCATCACCTATATTAGCAGCTGCAGAGTTAATTTTACACGGCTCTATTAAAAGTAAACTAGTGACATGAATGGCAGCCCCAGAGCCATAACAGGAAATTTATTTCCTGGGACATACGTATTGTTAACCCAAATTACCCCTGTACCTAATTTAGATTGAAATAGTCAATAAAATTTACATGAGAATGCACACACGACAGTCATTAACATAATTTTTCATGACTCCAAACATCATCTTTTCATTTTCAGTCCAACAAAAGTTTTCAGTGCCTGCAAGATATGTGGGCTGTTATTCTTTAATAAATTCAACAAAAGCATGCATGCCAAGGTGACATGAGTATTAAATTGATCTCTTCCCCAGGGAGCTTTCAGGTGGATTCTGGGACTGTGAAGGGCTGAAAATAAAAAGCCGGCTGCATGAAGAGTAGAGAGGGCTGAGCAAGACAGGAATTTTGCAGCCTAAATAGACTACCCAGATTGGCAGAGTACATTGATATATGGCATGTGGAGAGGAAATAGTGTTACAGGTCGACTGCCTGCTTGAGCTAGCTCACAATTGTCTACATTTGTGGCAGTTGTATTTAAATATATATATATATATTTTTATTTTTATTTTTTATTTTATTTGATATTTTCTTATTTTTTCTTATTTTTTTCAAAGTATTTTAAAAATGTTTCTGTTTTATAGGTAAGAAAATGTTTCTGTGTATGAAAATATATGTGGTAAATGTTACAAAAGCTGGACAGTGAATGGGGAAATTTGTTCTATTATCAACTGATACCTATGTAGATATGAAGTGAGGTTGTTTGTAAAGTTATTGTGTCTGATACACAACCCAGTTTTAAAACATTTTGGGCCCAGCATAAAATTGAGCAGAAAAAACCCTCTACCCAACAAGCCATCCATCCCAACATAAGAAACATTCAAATTGAACTTTTATCATGTTTGCTAAACTATTTCACTTTTATGATGAACATTGTTTTTTTCAATTAATTTTTGAAAATCATTCTATCATGTTGAAAGTGAGATAATTTCCATCACAAAATATATTGGCCCATCTTGATTTGATGGGAGTTAAAATTAGGTAAGAAAAGAAACGCTTTTAGAACTTAAAGTCTTTGTTTATCAGTCAAAATGTGAAAAAGAAAATATAATTTGCACATTTTAATATAAATTCTCATCAATATACTGTACATTGGCCTTTTTTTAATTCTTTTTTTTTTTACTATAAACCAAAATAAAAAAAGACAATCTTTGTTTGAGCTATCAGCTGATGCTACTTCAATTTTTTTATTTATTTCTTAATTAAATTTGTATTCAACCCACAAATGGACTATGGCGGTAGAAGTCTCCTACTGACTAGGCTCACTAAAATTTTGTCAGAGTATGTATTTTTGTGTCTGAATAAGGTAGTATATAGCTTCACAAAAAAAAAAAATCCCTACGGCAGTATTGGATTGACACATGATGTTTTGGTCACCTCCTGCCTCTCTCTGCCCCGACACTGGAACATTAATAGTGTAAAGGTGCAGCAATCAGGCTGTGACACACTTGACCACACATAAAACTCATCACACATTCGGTCACAGCTGTGCTTAAGTCCATCCACATCTCCGATTAAACATGTACAGATACTGATAAATAGCTGTAACCACACCAAAGGGAGCACATTAACTGACGTACTCTGTAATTGAATGCCCCCCTGCTGGCTTCTTTCCATAATTCAATTTTCATTTTGCAGTTATCCTGTCTTTCACTGTGACCTATAAGTAAATGTCTCTGAATGCGAGCTGAATTAATGATCTCTGTAAATAGAGTAAAATGGGCAACAGGTGTTGTTTTTGAGCAAGTGCTGGAAGAGAAACTGTGGATCGGAAAGAATTATGCACGTTTAAATTTGCAGTCAGTTCACAGAACTGATCGCTGTTTTTTTGTAAAAATGTTCTGCCCTCTTCAATGTCTTGTTGACCATGTGGCCCAAGGCTTTTAATGAGAGCTTAAACAGTTTTACGCCACTTCCAGTATTCAAAGACAAAGCGTTCAAAACTCTTAAAATATCAAAATGGTTTGTCTCATAATGATGATAGTAGTAGTTAGTGTGTGCTGTGTTACAGATTGATGTGACTCCCATAAATAGTTTTGAAATTCACTCTGCTTTCTTCATCAGTTTATGTGTTTTCAACCTTTTCAGTTAAAGGTATAAATTCAACTTTTTACTGTTCAGTTTTGACTAAAGAATACACAAAACTTTACTTGCTAGAATCTGTAACGTGTACTTTTGGACCTTTTTAGCTTTAGCATTGATCATATTATCACATTAATATTCTTAAATTGGCCCATACTGTAAGTTACGTGTCCCAGCTATCTACATAAACATAACACATGGGCTTTATATGAGATATGGGTGATAACCCGATCCTTTTGTTGGAAGCCCAGAAACAAACCAGAGAATTCGTCAGTATTGAAATGTATAATATTATTATCATTTTTGTCTCAACAGAACAACACATCATGGCGGCCAGAGTCATGTCGAGAATGTACTTGTTTTAGTGATGTGGCCATCTGCAGACCCATCCACTGCCCCAACCCCCAATGTGACTTTCAAAGGGTAAGAAATGTAGTTTGAAACACTTTCCCATTTTCAGCTTGGATGTGGAACGATAAGCAAGATGATATTTAGGTTCCTTAGAAACAGACAGAGGTCTTGATTTTGTCTACATATAGATGGCAACTCAGTCCAAATACAAGGACAGACACTTTTAAATCGATAGGTCTGGATGGATGGATAAGTTAAAAACACAACACAACACAACAACAAACACACAAATAGCACATATACCGTAACTAGAAACTTTTACATTTAACTTCATATAATTTTGATGGAAATTAAGACAAAATGGAAACGTGGTGTAATTGTAGTTGTGTTTTTTTACGACATACGAACAAATCACTAACATAGAAGCTTGAATTTTAAGAAAAAAATTGTTTTTTTCTCAAGATTAAATTGTTTTACTAATTTTACTGGTTCGTTTTTATTATTTATTCAAACATGCAGGTTAGTTTTTATTCTAAATTGTTACATTCATCATGCCAGTTAGTAAATATTTTGCTCATGTATTCTGAAATCTCTTACAATAAAGATTGATATATGATTTCTATGATGTGCAGAAAAACAGTTCTAAGCAGGATTTTTTAATGCCTTTTTGGGAAGTTCAGATTTTTCCTGGGGTAATTTTCCCCTAACGGTTATAAGCAGAAATCAACAGACGAAGATTACAAGTATAAATGTGCTTTCAATCAGCGTTTTTTGGCAGTTTGTAAATTACAAATAGTGCCAGTAACAAACTGATTTGCTGTGTCACAACATGGGAATCACTTTACATACAGTTCCCACAAAAACACAGCGGTAGTCTTTTGACTTTTCCTACAAAAGTAACCTGGGGACAAGGGCTTGATTGATAGATCCTGATTAGTTTCCGATGGGAATAAACTCTCGAACTACAGAAATACTATATCTTAGATTTCAGGTTGCAAGCACGAAGAATATAAAAGTAGCATTTAGAAACTCACTTTACAATTCTGTATTCATTTGCACAAACAGGCAGTTTCCCAAATGCGTTTGTTTGGCTCATTTGTTACTTCTGCATTAAATTGTCGTTCATCTGATCGTTAACATGTAATTTCTGTATATTTTGTTCTACATTTTTCAATTAGCACAAAACAATCTTTGAAACCCCTGGGGGTGTTTATTCTCACTTTCCAGACTTCTGCTCCCGTCCTCATTCCATGTCATTGTTATTCACTAGCCGCTTAACTGCTTACCAGGTCTACGACAGGCTGCTTTATTTATTTATTTATTTGCTCCATGTCACACGGTTGGCCTAAATGATTCTGCGAGAGCTGTACAGCACGAGGAATGTAAAGTGTTTGCAATATGTATTTTTACACCTCCACAACGTTTCCTTTCAACAGTTCATATCTGAGATTCATCATATTAGTTGTCATTAGGCCACGCTGATTTTAGGCCACAGTTAAGCTCTATCAGGGAAAAAAAAGAAAACAAAAACCACGCTGGCATTGACATGTTTTGCATTTATTCTTTTTCACTTGTAGGCTCAGATTGACCACGGCTATGCTAAGTGTATACTTGTGTTTGTACGTGTATTTTCAACAGGGGGAACGTTTGAGGATCCCCGCCAACAAATGCTGTCCAGAGTGCATTTCCTTGTCTCACGACTCCTGCCAGTATGAAGGGGTTACCTATGGAGTAAGTCAAAGAAATGAAAAATTAAGCTTTTTTTTCTCCTTTCCTTTGAGCGAAACCTTCTTTCGATCTTCTTCTTTTTTTTATGATGTCCTGTACAGTAGCAGAATGGTAATTGCTGTTGTACCAAACACATTTTCTTTGCCAAAGGAGGATTTATCGATGAAAAGGCCCCCTTGAATTTTCAGTACTGCTCTTTTTTTTGCAACAATACCTTACATGTAATATGTAATGCCAAACCAAACAGGGGTGACGAGGAAAGAAAGAGGGAAAAAAAAGAACAAGACTGAAATAGAAAGCGACAACAAAACCATACAACCAGCTGCTATGTCCATAAAAAGATCCTACAGAATATAGAAAATCCAGGCAGAGAACCATCAGGAGCACTTGTGAGCAAACAAAGAGAAAAAAAAACACAAGCAGCGATGACATACAACAAATACCACAGAAGCAAATGAAAAGCAAGCATTTGAATGCGTTTGCGTGTGGGTCTTTGCATGTGAGCGCACAAACATGTGAAACACACAGCCCAGGTTTCACACAGATTTTGCTCGATTATGATTACATGGGGCAAACGGCCAACACCCCCACTTAGTTTTGTGTTGATATGGGTGGCCAAGAACAGAGTATTTCAGTAGGAGTAAATGCTTTAAGCAGTAGTTGGACTCCAACATATGATGGCAGCCCTGAAACAAAATAATGCAACCATGAAAACCAAAATCAGTTACTTCAAAATATCATCCCTAATTTTCATTATGGACACATTTTTGTGTTTCTATTGTGTGTTTCTTCTCTTTAAAATAAAATTTTGCTAGTGAAATGTATGTAATATAAGGTGAAATGTAAGGTTGATGTAATTCAAGGTTAAAACTAAATGGGATCTGATTGCACATCTGCTGCAGGTGCTAGATTAAGAAAGAAGATCAGCACCGTTTCAGGATTCAAGACTGGAGACAGGTGCAGGATCGTTTCCCAAAGCAAAGATCCTTGAGATAAATCAACTACTATGACTATGAAATATTTTCAACAAAAGATCTCTCCACAAAGTGAGGCAACAAGACCATTAAAGATACCTAAAAACTAAATGTTTAAGGATATCTACAACATTAAATTGACCAAAAATAGCACTCTCCTTTAACAGAGACAAGCTAAAACAATGAAAAGTTATTTAAAAATCAAAATCGCTCTGCTCAGAGGTACTGAAAACTAGGAAAGTTAAGGCAAAAAGAATAAATCACTCCCAAAATAGGAGGACAAAGCATAAAGCAATAAAAACAGACTACAACAGAAAATCCCTCCACTAAGAAGGAAAGACCAAAGGGCTTTGAAACTTAACGAAAGCTATGAAAATGTACAAAATAAGGATCCTACTTTGAGAATGAACAAATTAAAACATGACTTGGACTCAGTTGACAAGACAAGGCTTATGGGTTGCTAGAAAGGATCTGACTGAATGTTCTTAGGCTCTAGTCCCCACACGACCCCATTAGGAATAAGCGATAACGATAATGGATGGATGGATGGACTACTGACGCGGGACAAAAGACCAAGACATGACCAAGACAACCAAAAAAACAAAAGCAAAAGCCCCTGGCGTGACACACCAAAACTAACTTGAAACAAAACTATCTTTCTTTACTTACGCATGATTTTGCACAGATGCTGGGGATAGCAGGTTGTTTATACTAACCCATCTTTGGAGATTACTTAATGAGATGTTAATGAGATGACATTTGAACCATGTAAAGAATTTTTTAGCTAAATCACTTTCACTTTCTAATCGCTCATGAATTCAAGTAATTTCAGAATTACTTGACAGCCGATGAGGGCACAGGTAATACTCCATTCTTTTTCATTAAAAGAATGGAGTATGGAGTAGCTACCTGAGTAAATTTTGGATGTTCTGAGATAAGAATTTTAAGTTATAGTAAGGAGGTGTGTTGTGGCTGTGTAAAGACAGGGGCAGCAAATGAATATATTGTAAATTATTGTAAAGAGTTTCAATTTCATATTGCTATAAACTTGTACTGTGTGTCCTAGAATGTCAAACTTAAAACATCACGTTATATCCCCAACTTGAAGGTTCTGAGGAGATACTGGGGAGAAACATATAGCTGGGAATAAAAAAGATAATCAAACAGAGCAGTGTGGAACCAGTAATAAGCTTTTTACTCACGTCTCAAACACCGAATGTCACCTGTCTCTCCTTTTTCCATCCTGGCTCACCATTACAATGTTTTAGGGCTGATCACTAGGCAGAGGTGGAGAGTGGGGAAAATTACTAGCAGCTAGGATCTGCAAAGAGAGTAGACCACACACATATTCACCCATCACCACAGTATGTAACACATCCCAACAACAATTTGCATTGTTCATCTTTTTATTTTAGAGACCACATTAAAAAGATGTAAAAAGTACACGAGTACCGTATAAAAAATAGCAAAAAACGTTCCCACTGCAGGAAAAAAAAATTAGGTTGAAAAAGCAATGGACATTATTACAACTAACAACCTTGACATTTAGGGGATGCAAAGAAAATAAATGCTTCCAGAAAATACATTGAAACATGGGTTTAAAAAAAGGAGTATGCTTGTATGGCTTTTTGTGGAGATTCTTCTTAAAATCTTTTTGAAATGATAAAAACAACAATAAATATATTTGAAAATTTGGTGATTTATGTAGGAAGATGACGTTAAGATTGAAGCAGTACTTATTACAGTATTACATGTTCTTCTCCCCAGTGTTTATTCAATATCACTTTATTGTCATCATTCATTGGATATAAAAATGAATATATGGCTTTTCAGGATGGAATGAATACAACTGTCCTTTATAGGACTTCCATTAAAGCCTACCCTGCCAAAAAAGGAGAAAATTACATAGACTCAAGACCTCTTCAAAATAAATGCATGCGTTTGTGATGCATTTTGGTTGGTGTGATTGTGTCAATCACAGAATATTGAAAAACTCACAACTTAAGGCAAGGCACGTTAGCTATGAGGTATTTTATTTTAAAAATGCATACACCTAGGAATAATTGGTATGGCCAAGAATAGGAAGAAATCTAAAAACCTTATTGTTAGCCTTAAGCTGAAATAGCTGCAGGGCAACAGGTGAAACTCATTTTAACTGTATTGACTTACAGTTTTCATAACTTAAGGCAAAAATCTGCTTGTATGTAAGTATGCATCTCTATCTATATTCACAATCTCTTATTCTTGATTTTTTTCCTCCTTGATTTCTGTTCTTTCTGTTTCTGTTCCTCTATCAGGTTCTGACTCACAAATGTGTCAAGTCCTCAGAGAATATAATGGCGTTTCCTCATCCTTCCTCTGTTTCTTCTGCTTTTGTCGTATCCTTCCATGTAACCATCCATCTTTTTGGTTCTCTGGTTCCCACAGCATGACAGCCAGTGGAGCCCCTCACCCTGCTCGGTGTGCGTTTGCTCTGAAGGCAGAACCACCTGTAGCGCCCTCCCCTGCCCCCAGCTCACCTGTCTGGGGGATCAGACTCCGTTTGTCCCAGCTGGAGAGTGCTGCCCCAAGTGTGGCCACAATGGAGGTGAGGGCTAATTCAGAATTTTCCAGCATCTGCACACAGACTGATTAATGCAGGTCTTTTTATATAACAACCTTGCCACCATTTACAGTAAGAAAAAAATGAAATGCTTGGAATTAATAAAGTTATACTTTTCCTGTTAGTTCAGAACTTCTTGATTAATCCATGTGTTGTGCTTTGATAAAAAGCTAATTAAAAAGATAAATTAGATTAAAAAGAAATTAAATAAATTAAAAAAGATGTCAGCCAATTAGAAAAAAGCTGTTATATAGCTATTAAGAGTACATAGTGTCATTATTCTAAAGTCCCTTAAAAAAAGATCAGAATCTATCATAGGAAAAATCACCTACAAATTGTCTTGCTTTTTAAACAACTTTGAATATGTCTTGGATAGGTTAATGGAGCAGATTAAGTTCAAGCGTGTTACAAGTGTGTCTGATGCTAAAAATAATTAATCGCTGGATCTGCAGGTGAACCTTGCTGTTGTTAAACTGCATGATTTTGCAACGAGAAAAGACGTATTTAAACTGGAAATGGTTCATGACAAAATTTTAGATATCCAATGGAAAATCACAGCAAAAAAAAACGATATATTAAACAAACATATAGATAGGACACTAAAAGTAAATATGGCCACAAAAACAGTCATGTCATGATTTTTGGGAACTAAATGTCTGAAAATGATACATTTTGAGTAGCTTCTATTAGAATGGAAGCCTTGGACTCATGTTCAGGCCCGTTTTCTTTTTACAAATGAGACTTAAAATATATATTTTGAGGTCAGATGCTTAAAAACGGAAGCATCACATTTGAAAATACACTGAAGCGAAAAGCTTTTTTTAAATTTTTCAAGAATTTGACATAAAATATAGCATATAAAATTTAATAATATATATATTTCAACATAAATGAATTTATATTGTGAATTTTGAGTGTGCACAAGCTTCCTACGTCAGATGTGACTTCATTGTTGTAGTTTACAGGTAAATATTACTGCTGCTACAAAAGATCATGGAAAAAAACACACACATTGTTTCCAAGAGAACTAAAAGTTTGCTTTGGCAAATTTGACAAAAAGTCAGGACATTAGCTGTTCAACTTGTTAACTTTAAAAACAGTGTCATGTACAATGGATTTACACTCAGCTTGATTTATTTTTTACTTCTTGCTTTGACAAAGTTATATTAGTTTGGGATTTTACTGCAGTTGGAGTAAAAAAAGGAATATGTTTTTTTCTGGTAAGTGCTTCCAGGCAATCAAAAGCCCCTGGATTGTCTGAACATTTTTATTTGAACATTTAGATTATCTCTCTGAAAAAAAATATTCAAAATTCATGAATGTTAAGTTAGTTTTATGGAGTGTGGCTTTGCCCTCAAATATTAATTCCTTATGCATTACTTCAAGATCATAAATGTAATTTAAATTTTCTTGTTTTGAAAATAATGCTAATTCTTTCATAATAACACATTATAATTTTTTTGTCAACAAACCTGTCTTTTTTTAAGGATGAAATAAAATAATATGTTAGGAGAAAAACAAATGTCGATTTCCAGAAATCCCAAAGTGATAATGGTTGCCTTGAAAATGAGTCGTTCTAATTGTTCATATCATGATATCATAGTAGCAGGGGAAGATGTATGCATTAGGGCATGCATGAGTAATTCTCTTAGCTATTAAGCCATTTATCTTCTTAAGCACAACCAGTGATATATGTGAGCACAGGTAAGAGTTTAACCAGCTCTGCTATGCCTTAACACGTTGCTCTTCAGGCTGTAATGGAGAAACAGAATAAGGAAAAAAAATCAGTTTGTTATCTTAAGGTAACAGATCCAGATATTTACCTCATTAAATAGTTACTGCTACAAAACAAGCGTAATTGTCGGGGATTTACATGTGATATGAAGTTAATGATTTAGAAAAATACGTGTAAAGCATTGCTAATTTATTTTTGGACTTGAGAGCAACACATTCAACACATGTATAGCTAAATCAAACGAGTTAGTGTCAGTCAGCAATATTAGGCCTGTTTTTTGCTACTTGGTGGTCATGAGCTGTTTGTGTATTTCTTAAACACACTGTTGCTGTTGGTGGCATTTTCACTGAACGTAAATGATCTGTGAAGTAGTTAGACTTCGTTTTGCTGATAGTTTGACATTCAACAGAGCAATATGTGCACAACAACAAATTATTGTTTTTCCGTGTCCTAACATTTCTGCAGAACTTTTCATTGTTGTTGTTGTGACTGACTTTTCAGAGCAGCAGATTTAACATGAAAGACTAATCTTGACACTAATAACATCTTTGGAGGAGCTATCATGCATCCCAGCAGTTAGTATCTTTTTATGTCTGCTTTTTTTTTTCCTCTTGACTCTAAATGACAGTGTGCATGTAAACAATGCTTGTGTTAAAATCTGTGGAGCTGGATCCAACTGCAGAGGATAGAAAAACAAGAAAATCCTTCAGTTAAGGAAAAAGTCTATTATTATTATTATTGATAGGCATGGACCAAAAAGCGCTGATCGAGGTTTAAAAAAAACAAAACAAGGATATTCGCCGCGAGAAAAGTCTCTGTTAAAGAAAAAGCAAAAAATAACGACTAAGAAAGTCACTGTGAGGGCACAGGAAAATAATTTACAACAAATAAATAAATAAATACTGCACGGCAGGAGAAGGAAAAAAATCAATGCGAAACTCACTACTGTGGGAGGGCTCTCGGAATGAGGCAAACAGTCTGAAAAAATCAAAACACGAGAGGTTATAAGAGACAAGGATTAGTTAGATGAGTACACAGGACAATTAGAGAATTGGATCACACCAAAAAAGCAGAATAATATGGCGCAGAATAGATATTTTAGGGAGATTTCATAGTGTATGGAATTGCCGACAGGCCAAATGAGGAGCGAACAAATACACATTCATGAGACCCCAAAAAAGCAAAACACAACTTCCAGAACAGTACTTTCCTGCCATTTTTCTCTGTTGACGCACTCTGTTTTAATCTGTGTTCGTGTCAGAATCTTGCCCTTGGCAGGGAATCGTCTACAGGGATGGTGAGGAGTGGAAACCCAGCCTCTGCTCCAGATGTGTGTGCAGCAACGGGACGGCCCAGTGTTCAGTGGTGGAGTGTCAGCAGGTGGCCTGCAACCCAGTAAGATCCTAGAGACACAGACACACACTTAAAAAAATCGATGACGTCTTTTACTTGGACACCGATCAGGGCATGGATTTGTTTTTGTTGCACGCAAACCCCCTAATCTTAGTCTTTATTTTTCCTCAGCGTGAGAACCTGGTAATCCAACCAGGCCAGTGCTGCCCTCAGTGTGTGTCCAATCCTTGTCTCTTTGCTGGGAAACAGTACCAGGTAGGCAGTATGCAAGTGCATGAACACCTGATGTCTGTTTTGTGTCTTTAAAGCAGTTTTTGCATTTTTTATGTGTGGAGCGACATATATTTTGCTAGAGTCTGACAGGATATCTGTGATGTTAGCATGTACAGTACACAATATGTGAACATTTCCTCTCCATTACTCAAATGTAAAAGAATGAAAAAGATAAATCCTTGTTTCATAATTTATATCCAGTCATGTTTTAATCACAGTTACTAAGGCATTGTGCAAGTTAACTGATCCTTCATTTTTATATATATGTAAAATATCAATTGATATTTATTAATTTTGCATATATGTTATATGTGATATTGTAAATATTCTGGATGCTAAGTTATCAGTCAAGGAAGAATACGTTGCTTATTAGCTATGACCTGAAGGTTTCTTACATTCTTGGCTTAGGAGATTCAATTATAATTATTATGTTGATGATGTGATGAATGGAGCAATGGGCCAAGTCGACCAATTTATAAGTCTTAACAAGGTTAGGTTTAAACCTAACCTAAGGTGGATGTCAGGGTGACAGGCTAAGATCTGTGCTAAACATGTAGAGTGATCAATATTGATTGGATAGGTACCACTGGGTGTTCAGATATTTTACATAGCTTACATACGAAAAATCTGAATTTATTGGACGGGAAATGTGTCTGAACCCCATGACCTGTACTAATAGCTTGTTTTTCACAAAGAGAATCTTTTTTTTACTCAAATGGAAACATTTCTTTCATTATAATATTGTAATCAACAGTGACACAAATTAAAGGGCACATTCATCAGTGGACATTGTACTGAGCGCTCATGCTGTTACTGATTTGTATTGTGTAAGATCTTATTCTTATTATCTTATTTCCTTCTAAAAAGAAAAATAAATTAAATGAGTCAATGGTTTATTTAATCCAAAATCATATAATCCAAACAAACTACCCAATTCTCAACAGTTGCTTCATAGACGTTTTACATTTGTATCTACATTGAATTAAATGCTTGATTATGATCTAGAATTTCATTTTTGAGAAGATTTTGATACATTTGTGCCCTTCACACAAATCTTTTAATTGAAGTATTCAAATAAACAGTTTTTACAATTGCAGTAGAATTGAAAGTTTCTTTAGAAACTTGTTTTTGAAGTACACATTGTACACATTGTTTGTAAAAGACAAGCTTTATGGGGTGTGCTGGCTTAAACTGTGTTCTGTTATCCTAATGTGACAGAATGACTGTGTCTGCGTGTTTTTTATTGTCAAAAAGTAATACAATACTCATATTGCATATCACAAGGGATGATTCTGCAGAAGTTTTTGATCAAAGTGTCCGTTTAGGTGAGAGAGAAGCTGTCTGAACTCGGACTGAACTGGATTTGGAGCCCAGCGGGAACTGTTAATTTAAGCTTTTTAAATAACATTTTTGATGTTTTAAATAGGGACTATTGAAATCATTTTTGTCCCCGGGCCTTAGTCAACATTCAGTTCAGCGTTTTAGATCGACAAATTAGAAATTCTAGACCTCAAACTGATTTTGACGTGGAACCAGTATGAGGCAGAATTGCACTGACCTGAATAAAAAGAAATCTGCAGTCATGAAAACCAAGGGGTTAATTGGAATTAATTAATAGGATCCCAACTCAACCTTGCAGCAGGTAGCTAGCATTTAGCCAGCTGCCAGCTGGCAACATGTTCTCTGTCTCGCAGCATATGCTGCATACATATACAGCCTTAATTTTCAGTTGGTCAGGGTAAGTGCTTATGCTCTATGCTGATTATATAGATTTTTAGAGTCGTTGCTCTGAGATTGTTGGTGTTAAATTTAAGGTTGAATCTGCCTTATAGATTTATAGCACAAACCCTTTAGCCATTCTGTGGTGATGGCTAATTTTGCTCATGATATGTCCAATTGGTCACTTATTGCCCTTGCCTCATCAGATACAACATCTATTTTGAGGGCATCTAAATATGTATTTGTGCGTCTCTTGGCAGCATGGTGAGCAGTGGCAGAAGAACGCCTGCACCACATGCGTGTGTGATAGGGGTCAGTCGAAATGCCACACGAGCACCTGTCGGCCAATTGTCTGCAACAAGGTGGGTGATCCAAAACACGCCTATTCACTGACATCTAGTTGGGAGAATTCACCTCACACCTTTTTCTTTGTACTGAAATTCCTAGAATGTTCAATTAACCTTACATGCAAGGTTTGGGACAGTGGGTGAGGGGAATCCAGATTACCTGGAGGGAACGCACGCAGATAAGGGGAGAAAGGTGATCCCTGATCCCCCCAGAGATTCAAACCGGGAGCCCCAGTGCTGTGAGGCGACAATGCAAACCACTACACAACCGTGCCACCCTGTACTGTAATTTCTCAATGGATCGTTCTGATCTCTGTCAAAAGACTCCCTTCCACTCTCCTTGAACCTTATCAAACCAAACTTGACATCCATCCATCTATTTTCTGGGCTGGAACCTATCCCAGCTGACAACGTGCGAGAGGCGTGGTACACCCTGGACAGGTCTCCAGTCCATCACAGGGCCTCACAGAGACAAACAACCACAAACGCTCACATTCACTGCTAGGGGAAAGTATGCAATTAACCTAACATGCATGCTTTTGGACAGTGGGAGGAAGCCAGAGTACCTGGAGAGAACCCCCGCAAACACAGGGAGTGTCACACGGTGGATCTTAGGGAGGACTCAGTCGTGGAGTTTGGCGAAAACAGGGTTTATTTGAACAAAAAGGCACTCAAAAGGAGTGGATGTCAAGACAAAGTTCAAAACAAGGCTGTGACAAAACTATGAACAAAGTATCAAATCAAGATTAACCAGACTGTGAACACAAAGTATCAAATAAAGTAAACAAGGCTATGGCAAAGTATCAGATAAAGATTAGCAAAACTGTGGCAACGCTGTGACAAAAACATGGCTATGGCAATAAAGTAAATAAGACTATGGCATGGCTGTGACAAAAATCAAACCTTATGTGGCGAAGGGTGACAAAAAGACGAAATTACGAAAATGACGAAAAGACGAAAAATGACGAAAACACACTGCCACAGGACATGGGAAACGAGGACTATTTAAACACATGAGGGAGGGGAACCCCAGGTGTACACAATAGGTAATCAAGACATGACGAGACACCAGACATTCCCCCAGACGTGACAGGGAGATGAAGTCCCCCCGGGCACTCAAACCTAGAACCCACTTGCTGTGAGGCGATGGAGCCAAACCCAAACATGACAACTACTTGAAAATTAACAATTAAAACTACTTACTGATATACACACTAACATATACTGTATATTAATATCAGCACATGTAAATTACTTTTCACGCACAGACTGAGATTTATTCCTTTACCAAATTCAAATTACATCTTGCTGCTCCCATAGAGTACTGAAGTCTTGTTAGTACAGTCAGAGGGGATTTTAAAACAGAACCTCTACACAAAACAAAATGCTGAAGGGAAGCACACCAGAAAGTGCTTTGTGATAAGTGCCAAGTAGAATGAACAATCTAAAGCCCAACTAAGCTTACAGTCTTAAAGCATATGACATTTATATTTACCTTAAGACACAGTGTAGTTTATGATTTAGAAGATGCATTTTAACATTTATTTTGTAGTTAGCTGGAAGCTTCAGTGAGAATCTGAACTTCTACTGATACAAGAGATTGATCCCAATCTCTTGTGCCAGTACAAGTTCTTGTCTCTTGCTCTGAATTCTTTGTACTTTGAGATGTTTTTTTATTCCAAGTGGAGTGTGACATGTTGAAGAGTTATTTATGAGTAATTGTTGTCTTACCTTTAGTAGAATAAAGTCAAGGTCCTCTCAGTTTGGAGAACTAACCGTGAAAAATCGGTCATTTAGAAGGAAACTGAAGTTTCTGAGTGCTGAGTTTTCATTGCTCTTAAACAGAACAAATGGAGATGTTTGGCGAAATGCCCAGCATGGCTGCCCAACGTATCCCTAATGCAGCTGAGATTTAGAACTTTGCTATTTTATAAAAACAAAATTACAGGTTAGCGATGGTAAAAATAAGTTAGAATCTTGGAGATGAACAAACACGTCAAATATTTCCTGCTGAAGTGGTGCAGTGAGTTTTGAATGGAGAAAATTATACCTTTTTTGATGCTCTAAGAAACATGTCCTACCAATGTACTAAATGCACTAAAAATTACACACAGTTTGTATAATACTATTTCAAATTCGACCGAGAGTCCTTAGCCATTACCAGTCGTTGCACGTATCTTGCTTCGAGACCTACAACTTACTCATCCAAAAACATGACACTGCAGGATAACTTTACGTTGTATCCTGAAGGGTGACTGCTGTCTTAGAAAACTTGTCCCCGGTACTCCATTTACAATAGACCCAGGATGTCAGCTCCACACAGCTGTAAACAGAATAAGCTGCCAGACAAAAATGGATCGATCTGATTTCTGCTGTCAGTGTCAGATCTTTCACTTGAGAGAATAGTCAGTCAATGTGTATTTACAAAAAAAAAAAAAGGGATTCTAACCTTCCCTTTTAGGAGTTAATGCTACAGAAATCGTGAAAATGAATTTGAACCAATTAATGTGCTGTATTCCCATTGGTCCTGTGCTGGTCTTTGACAAACAGAAAATTTAGCATTACTACTTTTTTATTTGATTCTTGACTAAGTGTTGAATGCACTGTTTCACATTTTACTCAAACTTAAATGTTAAATTTTTTTCAGGTGGTGTAAAAAGGTGTTTATATATAGGAAAAATCGCTAGAAACCACATACAAAAGGGAAAAACAACCAGCTGTCATTTAATCCACACTCAATAAGATTATTATCTACTCAGTGCAACTCAGATCTTCTCGCCTAGCCACAGCTCAGTAATGGTGGTTTTCCATTACAAATTACGTTCTAACCTGATTTCAGTTGTATGCGAAATAAGCGGGAGACAACAATGAAGGAAATTGGGACAATATACTGGCTAATCATTGGTGTTGGTTCATGTATTTGGCATTAACAATGTTGTCGATCACATACAGTAAGTAATGACATTTAGATTTTTGTTGTCGACTTGTTTAGGCAGGGATCTCAAGAAGGAACCGCTTTCAAGACTCATCCAGTAATGTGACTGACCAGTCAGCAGCCGGCAGTCTGCTGTTGGCAGACAGCAGACTGAGAAGGTGTTAAAATTGTTAGAAGGTGCCAGCCTCTAATGGAAATGCAATAAAAAACAAGTATGGTTAAGCTGACCCCCAACATTTCTAAGAACTTTCTTAAGACCCAAACCAATTGCCCTTTTAAGGGTACGGCTCCCATTGACGTATTTGAATATTCTTGCAAAGGCTTATGTCAAAACTCGGTGGATTGTCGTCTAGCAGTGCTTACACCACGTTTAAGACAATCTAAACTCTTTTCATTTATCTTTTCTTTTCACCTTACCCTGTACCCCCCCCACCTTCTCTACAACTCTTTCTGTACTTCCCTCTATCCCTTCACTGTCACCACAAAAGAGTCTGACTAATGATTTTCTTCTAGGTAGCGCATTATCAGGTTGATGCTAACTGTAACGGTATACCTGCATTGTAAGTCGCTGTAGATAAATGTGTCTGCTAAAAGAATGAACATAAACATAGTTATGACTTTGATTAAAGCAAAATTCACAAAAGCAACTTTCTGTATTTTCCTGGTATTTTCTTTGTCGTGTCGCAGCTAATTGTGCGTCTAAACATGTCTACACCTAAAAGTCAACGTATAACCTCCTTGCAGGGGGAAACTAAAGTGAAGCGTGCGGGTCAGTGCTGTGAGGAATGTGCTCCTGCCAAAGGAAGCTGCCTGTATCAGGATGCAGTACACTACCACGGAGACATGTGGAACAGCACGGACTGCGAGTTCTGCACCTGTAGCCTGGGTCAGGTCCTCTGCCGGAAAGCTGAGTGTGGACGAGTCGAATGCCGACAGGTGAGACAGAGAGACAAAAGTAATTGGGGTGGGGGTTTTTCTTTTTGGGTAACACCTTAATGAGCTGTGCACTCAGGGCAGGTACACTATTTAAGCTTCATTCACATGTGGCAAAGTGATACAAATTAGCCTGACAAAGGTAAAAAGCCTTGCCCAGAAGTACGTTTTTCAGTCAAGCCTAAAATACAGTCGGCCACTTATTGTGCAAGTTTTCCTAATAAGAAAGATGAGAGAGGTCTGTAATTCGCATCATGTAATCTGAAACAAGACGGGGGGAAAAATCCAGGAAATCACATTGTAACATTTAAAAGAGTTTATTAATAAAATATGGTGGAAAATATGTGTTTGGTCACCAACAAACAAGCAAGATTTCTGGCTCTCACAGACCTGTAACTTGTTCTTTAAGAAGCTCATCTGTCCTCCACTAGAGATATTTCATTCTAACAGACTCAAACACTGATATTTTATACTTTTCAACACAGCCTGAGCCCTCTCAGGCTTCTTATCAGTGAATTAGTTTTTTAGGGAAAGTTCTCTAGGCTTCTTGAAGGACATTTAAAAGCTCTTCTTTGGATCTTGGCTGCCTTTTGTTTTGTTCTCTGCCAAGATGATCCCACTGCTCCAATGATCTTGAAGTCTGTGCTTTGGACGGAATTCCTCCTATTGAACTGTTGCCAGTGATTATCAGTTCAGTTCTAAAGGTTTTTGTAGTGTGACCTTTCCTTGTTGTTTCACAAAGGCATCTCTTAGGTTCTGTTTCAGGTATTTGCTTAGCGTTTTCCCTACTTTCTAAGACAAGATCTTTAGATACTGCTTGGTACCTTTAATTTTAATGGATTTTTAGGCCTGACATTTTATCTTTATCTATCTCCAAATTGTTCAGCTTCCTCAACTCCATGCAAAGAACTACCCACGTTTTCAGATGATAGATCTTATGGAATCATCTTTTCGAAGCCTAAATACTGTGTCATATCTGTAAAAAGGTGTTGTCTTTTATTCTTCCGCCCACGGAATATTGGGGAAAACGTCATGTGTCTTTTAATCTAAAAGACAGTTTTGTTGGCAGTTGTAGAATTCTTAAAGGTTGTCTATTTTGGTGCCTTTTTATGCATCAGTGATGTAAAGGTAAAAAGCAAACAAACATAATCCTTTGAAATTGTTCAAGTATGAGGACTGGACTGAAAATGCATTAAAAAAAAAGACAGTTTCACAGAAAAACCTCCAGAAAACATTGAAAAATAGTTAATTACAATTTGCTACTCTGTCATGAATGGACATAAACCCTACATTTTTTACCTTTAACTTTACAGTCGTTCATATAAGTTGCCCTTTTATTTATGGTTATCATACTCAACTTTAAGTTATGCATTGATAAGATTATCAAGTTCCATTCCTCTGTTTCTCATGCACATTGTGTATGACTGTGGTTTTGATTGTTTACTTTCTGGAGGATCATTTTGTTGTTATACTGTTTTGCAGGGATCAGAGCTCACTCATCCGCCAACGAAATGCTGCTCTGAGTGTACCTCTGTGAAACCCTCCTGTGTGTATGAGGGGAAATCTTACAAGGTATTTATCTATTACACATGCAGATTCAACATTGTGTGCTTTTACATATAAACAAGAGAGAAGAGTTAAGAGCAAAATTAAGTAAACATTCCAAAGTGTGTGGGCAAAACGCAGTGATCTTAAGGCTTCTGGAGAATTTTAAAATGCTATTTTTCAGAGGAAAACAAGAGAGGCGTGAAGTATAAATGCAGAGGAGGCTGCTGCATATTGAATATTAAGCTGTGTTTAAGTGTAGAACGAGAAACTATAAACATTCAGATTTAATATTGCTTTAGCAGAGCTATTAACTGATGTTTTTGCATATAAAAATCAATTTTCTTAATATTTTGGTCCACATCTTTTAAAAGGTAATCAGCTTCATTATTAATCGCATAGTGGAAAATGAAAATTATTCTCCTCAAAATATAAATCACCAGTAATAAACAAAAAAACAAATACAAAATACTTCTTGCTTAAATAGATATTATGTGCATCAGTTACAGTTTAGTTTTAGGATTATTGAGTGATGTGGGAAATAACCAATTGGTACATAATAGTTATTTTCAAACTGAGTCAAAGGCACAGTAATAAACTCTTTCACCTTTTTACTTAAAGTAATTATTGGTCCTTGAAAGCATCGTGTACTTTCTAGTTTTTTTGCCATGATCTAGATTAGGTGTTTTCATGGAGCATTAAAAGCCTTGCTGTTTACAGCTTTGTGTACATTACCGTTGTACTAAAGATTCTGGTTTTGTGTTTACAGTTATGTGATTTCTCATATTTGACTTGTCTATGACATTATGAATAAGGAAATAAGTAAACATTAAAAAATCAGAAGCAAATATCTTTTCCTTTGTATAATTTACACAGTACAGCTGTTTAACTTAATATTTGATTCAGAAGGTTGTCAATAAATGCTCAAAAATGCTCACTCTTAACAGGTTTTAGTTTATCAAAATATATGTAACTTATTTTTTATATATGTTGGCCCTCTTTGCCTAATACGATCAGCAAGAAAGTTTTTACTTAAATTTTTAACACCATTTCTGTTTCGCTGAGTCACTCTGTCCTCCAAGGGCATCTCTCAGTGCACATCGTTTTAGAAGAAAAGTCCTGACACTATTTTTTTTTGTTTTAGAACTGATTAAGATTCAGATTTATGCAGGCTGGCTTTTAAATGCAAGTAATTCTCTACATAGTTAAAAATCAAAATCAGTTCAGTCTCTGCTTCCTCTAGGTTGAGGTCTACTTAAGAACGCCTTCTGTCTTATTTCAGAACTTGGCTCGTTGGGCTGATGGCAGCTGTCGCCAGTGTGAGTGCCGCGATGCCCAGGTGACTTGTTATCTGAGCTCCTGCCCCACTTGCCCACCGGGCATTCTGGCTGTCAACCGCGAAGGACAATGCTGCCCTGAGTGCCACCAGGGTATGTTAACACGCTTGGACAATGCTCTAAGCAATGTGCCTGTGTCTGTATGAGAAAGAAATCTGGAAGTTTTCTGATTTATGAGACTTAATTCCTTTTCCCATCTTGCATTTTGACAGCGGTGCAACAGCACAGACGCTGACAGTTTCCATAAGTGAATTATTTGGTGGCTCTTTGATATTCATTTCATTCTTAGACATATGATATGACAGTGTCTATTTATTTACGTTTTTTAATATTATCCACATAGATTTCATCCCATTACCTAAATGCTTTATTCCCCATAAAGGTCTGATACCGTCCTATCATTTCAGATGTACATGCATGTAAAAACAGTCAGGTCACAATATTGCTTTTTTCTTTAACAGCCACGATGCATTTCGGGAATTTTACCACCATATTGGTGAAGAAATTGGTCTTGTTAATTACTTGGTTCAGAAATACCAAAAAAAGTCCATACGATTAGCTTAGATTTGTTTTGATGATACATGAGAATGAAATGGCTATGGATCCTTCTTCTAAGATGAGAAAAGTAAACCACAACTTGAAAAACTGTTTGATGCTCACTGTGTCTGACTGTATGTCATTATGATTGTACATTATATTAGGTATTTATTCCAGTTGTGTAAATAAACTTTAGTTAATTGGCATAAAATTGTGTTTTAAATCATTTAATGCCAGTAAGATTATTAAACTTGTCATATGGATTACCCACTCAACACAGTGATTGAGCAATTAAAGACTTTGATTAAACCTTTAAAACCTGATCCAAGAAAAAAATAGGGATATATTTTAAATTTGGTCCTTTAAGTCAAATATTAATGTGTAGTCTTCTGTCCGCTGTTATCAGTTATATGTGATTGTGTACAACTGGGCTTTGAGCAAAGGCTTTACCATTAAATGATGCAAGAGATCTGAGACGCAAAACATTTCAGAAACTGTATGTATCAAAAATGATATATATGGCAATATGGGGTTTGATTTAAGTACATTTTAGTTTCAGTGACTGGCATCTTGCTTTTCACATAATTTATATTAAATCTCTCAGGGTGGGATTTTCACACACCACCCACATTTTGTTTCTTTATTCTAAATGTTTCATACATGTTTGTGACATGTTGCTGTTGTGTTTACTTTCTGGACAAGATTTATCTGTTTAATGACAATCAATGAAAAGTTGGTTGGATAAAAAGCACAAATCAAAAAAGCTGCTAAACAGGAGGAGAATAAACGTTTATAATTATGCAAGACCAATCAGACAGCAAAAACTAAATTGTCCTGTTGGGTTTACCTGTTATATTTATTTTTCAGCCCGCTGTCACATTGAACAGTCATAATGTTGCAGTACAAAATCGAGTTCTGTTAATTGAACATATTCAATTAGAAAGAATTATTAAAGGTTTTATTTATATTCAGTGTTACAGCAGTATTTGGTTAAAATTTCATTTTGAGGTCACCATTTGTAAGTGAAATGTTCCTATCTTTACCACTAGAGTTTACATTTGCTTAAAATGGATATGAATATTGATTTGACAGATAAATATATTTCATGTCCATATGGCCAAATAGAATTCTTCTGGAGAGCAATAAAGTCAGAAACTATAAAACTGAAATTGATCCTACATCATTTGCCATAGTTCAGATTCATTGTTCTTCCAGAGAATAATCTATGTGAGCATGTTTGAACTTAATGTGGTCTAAGCACAATTAAACCTGATGCAATATGTGGTCGCTTATTTAAACACCATTAATTTCACGGCCTGGCATTCAATGTGATTACTCCAGTTTCTTAAACTTAGAAAAACAAAGAACGTGTGCATCTTTTCTCTGGGAGCCTCCTTTCCCACCTAAACAATAAATCTTCCTCTAAGTCTATTAATCAATGCTGTCCTCAGGCCCAGAGGTGAGAAGTTTCCCCTCTCATTGGGCTGCTCTCGTCTGAGGGCTATGACCTGGTGTTGTTCAGTGTTAGAGTCATGTGGGTTAGCTTGAGCTTCCCTTGTGGATATTCTTCTCTGCAAGGCAAGTCAAATACATGCTGAAAAAATACAAGCCAGCCATTACAATGATATATC